AGCGACGAAAGGGCTTGCGAAGATCTGTGACGATGCGGGTTGTTGAAGTGGTTCGCGGCGTTGCCAAAAGTGTAGACTTCGAGTTTAGACAGTAGATCCTGCGGCAGCTCCTGAAGCAACCAGTCGAGAACCAAGCCACCCTCGATTCCTCCTTGAGAGTGCAGGATGAAGATGACCTTGGACTTGCTAGGGTCGTACAAGACATCTTTAAGAATCTTGAAGCAGATTCGAACATCTCCAGTTGCGTAGCCAAAATTACGCTGAATTAGACACTCGAAAACATCAAAAATGACTCCAGAAGTTCGGTTGTGAACTCCGAGTATGGGACGGCCAAAGGTGAGAGCTAGACGATTCAGATTTGCCTGCATCCAATGTTCTCTGGGAGAGTGGTTAGCATTGGTATTAAGTAGAGCATCTAGAATATACTTACCCGACAGCAACACCGTTTAGGAAAATCCACTGCTCATGCCCATGTTCAGGCAGGGCCTTGGCGTACTTTTCTTCCGAGTTGTACGTGTCCTTAGTACCGTTCAACAGTCGGCAAAGAAGCGAATTGAGAACCATAAACGCAGCAATACCCGCCACCGCCATCCAAACTGGCAAGACCACCGAAAAAGGCAAGGCAAGGATGAAAGCTAGCTGTAAGATGGCCAGGACTAGATGGACAAGGACGCAAAAGAGGTTCTGCGGAGTTGGGTAGAGTTCATCGAATTCCTTGGATCCAAAAGGGTACATGGGCCAGACGATCCAAGGCAGAGCCCAGATGTAGACGAAAAAGTAGTAGACATCTTTGACAAAGAGTTTCCATGGGAAATCAGTGTGTGAATAGTCGATTACGGACGCTTCTCCAATCTGAGAGCGAAAGTACTCAGTTGTCGTGCCCATTTTGACAATCCAGTGTGATGATGCGATGAAAAGATTCAGCAGAAGCGACAGTTGGTTGCCATGAAGGATGGAGGCCCAGGCGATAGCGATTCCCAGTGGAGAGAGGTTGGGGAGTCGCTGGGTATGGAGGTTGTGAAAATAAATTTAAAGATCAACCAGGGTCGAAACGAGGATAGATAAAGCAACCTCGGAAAGAGATCCCGTACAAGGCGTAAGGCGGTATTTCCTTCACATGCAACAAGACAAGACGGAAACAATAACGAGGCTGCCAGTCCAGGTGGTCTCGTGAGCTGAATTGCCTTGTGGAGGGAGTGACGAGTCTGACTGAGCTGGAGCTGCCGAGAGTATGCGCCACAGCCTCTCAGGTTTCGCGCATAGGCAACAAGCAAGTAAGCAGCCTTACTGGGCAGGTAGAGGGAAGGATTTCATGTCAGATGGGCCTCTGCGACGTCAGCACACCCATAATATCCAAGCCCAAGCGCTGTAGACTAGGGTCATGGAGGCTTAGTAGCATCGGCGCGGCCTTGGGATTGGACCGTTAGACATGAACAGGCTGGCGCTGGCGCGGGAGCGTAAGCGGGAGCGAGGCATTGCTCGAACGGCGACATTGTTTGTGTTGCCTTGATAAAAGCCATGATGTTTTATGCTGGCCAAAGTGTAGAGTTCAAGTTGAGATATTCTCTTGGCCGTTGAAAGGTGGCGGTGGGCTTGTCTTGGTGGCTTGACCGGTGAATGTCTGTGCCTGAGGCATCCACTGTCTTGATCACCATGGCTGGAGCCAACGCTTGCATCTCCATCATGTGTGTACGTCTATCAAATTGCAATAACAATGTACTAAACATTTTGTCAGGATCCATCTCCCTTTTCCCTGGATCCGATTTTTGCCTCCAAATGGAGATAGATAGTGGTGACAAGTCGGCTTGGGTTTCACGATCATAAATGCGACTAATCACCAATAGAAAAGTCAAGTCAATGCACCATACCTATACCAAACAAAAACATCTGTGCAATTTCTACCGTTGCTTACACCATATATCCGTCGCAACGAGATTTTGGCTAGTCTGCCAGTGTTAAGTTGACTCGGTCTGATTACTATGATTTCACAACTATGAGCGTTGCATGCAATACCAGGGTCTACTGTTGACTACCCTATAACTCTTCAAGGAACTCGTTTCGAGAACGGATAAGGACACACTTAGACATCCAGCTAACTAAAGTCACAGGAATATTCAACATAGGACGAAGCCAGTGATCAAATATGATTGGGGGACATTTGCGTTAAATTCTATGTGGTCAAGTCCGCAAAGAAGCGTAACATATATCTGGCTATGGATGGCACAGCCACAGTTGAAGGGAATAACTCGTCATCATACAAGTTTTATCGGTAATTCGTCAAGCAACATGGCCTTTCTCGTACCGATCTATCATACCGATCTATCTTTTTATTCTTCTCATTTCGCATCAGCATCATAAGCTGTCTTGACAGCTTCGCCGTTGGCCTGAGCATCAGGCTTATATTCCTTGAACTTCCTGGCTGGGACACCCTTGGTGAACATCTCATCGAGTTCCTCGTAGGTTCGGTTGGCGGTCTCGGGGAGATAGAACCACAGGAAGACGAGGCTGATGACAGCCAGACCACCAAAGACGAAACCGACCTTGGCTCCCATGTTGGCCTTGTCCGGGTTAAACATGAAGGGCAGGACGAAACTCCACATCATGTTGAGAGCGTTCTGAGCTGCCAGACCGATGGCGACAGTCTTGACACGCAGACGGGAGGTTGACACCTCGCACAGAACGGTATAGGCTGTGGCTCCGATGGTGACGTTGTACCACCAGCAGTACAGCATAATCATAGCCACTGTACCCTTGATGGCTCCGGGGGTTGCGACGGTAGCCAGAGCTGCCATGACGAAGAGGATGACGGTGAGGATGAGCAGACCGTAGAAGGTGAGGTTGCGGCGGCCCATGCGGTCGACCAGATACCAAGACATGATGTTTCCAATCATGGAGATGGCCTGCTGCACAATCTGAAGCTTGAAACTCTCGCTGGTTGTGTATCCGGCAAGCTGAATGTAGTAGGTCGCATACGAAGCGGCAAACATGATACCCGAGAGGGATTGAATGCACAGGGGGGCGATCGAGATGATGGTTCGACGGAGGTTGGACTTGCGGAAACACTCAAAGTATGTGGCACCCGCGGTCTCGGCCTTGATCTCCTCAAGGGTCTTGTTGATGGCGGCAAGACGCTTCTGGCCCTCCTCACCCTTGCTTCCGAGGCGGGCGAGCGACTTGAGGGCGCGATCTTGTTGGCCCTTGGAAACGAGCCACCATGGGGATCTGGAAGCCAAACGTTAGTGATGGATGTCTCCAGTTTTTGGTCTCGAGACTTACTCGGGCATGAAAAAGACGAAAATGGTGGAGACGACTGCAAAGCCGTACTGAGCGCAGAAGACGGCCCTGTACGCCCAGCGGCTGTCGTATGTGCCCGTCTCATTGACGATAAGGGAGACGGCAAAGGGGCCGAGGGTGTAGGCGAGGGCGGACAGACAGGTGAGCATACCTCGGAGGGCCATGGGGGTAATCTATTGGCTGTTAATTGACTTGACACAAACAGTACTTGACATTATTCGTACCTCTCCGATATATGACACAGTCACGGAAGCCAGAGCACCAACAGCAAAGCCATTGAGGAACTTGCCACCAAAGAAGACGGCATTGGTGGTAGCAACGAATTCCATGGTGATGGCAGCATAAGTGATAACGAGGCAGATGATGATGACGGCGCGACGGCCTAGCCAATCGGCGACGGCACCGCAGCCAAGAGCACCGATGATACCTCTGCAGTTTCAAAAGTCAGAAAAACGACTCTACATGGGAGAAGGATATAGACTTACGAAGCAACAGGACCGCCCTGGAAAGCGCTCTGCCAATCGGCCTGAAGCACCCAGTTGCCGTTATAATTGTATCCAAAGTCCTTTCGAAACTCGGGGATACCGATAATGTTACCGGCAGCCTGGTTCTCAAAGGACACGAGCAGGATACACCAGACGGCGTAGATGGACCAGAGGAAAGCTAGGGGGTACTTTCTGATGGACTCGATCTTGCCCATCTCGTGCTCCTCCTGGTTGGCCAGGTGGGCGAGATCATTGTTCTCGCCGTCAAAGTGCTCGGCACCCGTCTTTTCGAGATTAGCCGTCATTGTGAAGGGATGAATTGATTTGATATTAGAAAGAATTGCTCTTGAGAGCGGTGGTGGTGATGATTCAGATTTCAGAAGGGCATTCTTGGTCTGTCTTATATAATTACCCCAGAATCCCGGGAACAAGCTGAATCTGGGGTTTTGCAAATCTCCCCACGGGCAGCGTGACTTTTCCAAGTTTCCGACCCCGGCGCCGTGGTTAAAGTTCGGGGCCCGGACGACACCATCTTGAGTATAGTTTCGGCCGATGGGCGTCTAGAAGTGCCTGATCGAGACTGGCAAAGGGTCTGGGCGAGGCCACGCGAGCCGGCACCTGTGGGACGGCAGATGGGTCCGCAACTCGTACAGGGGATCTAGGTTCCTGATGAGGACGTTTTCTCGTTAAGACGGGTTACGTCGTCAATGAGGTGCGTTTTTTTTATTCCTTGTTCTCGTGGCACGGGTTCAGCAGATATTGTGAAAGCGGGATGGAAAGCTTAAGCGGCGGTGTAATTGCGGAGCAACTATTTCAACATGATCCGATGTAGAGCACAGACAAGGTCTATTGCGTAACGTACGCGTTTACCAATGATTAGTGATATTGGTTCATGGTGAAGCGGACGTTGACTAACATGACCCGAGAGCTATACACGATTGACCGTTGTTGGTAGAAGCCGTTCATGCATGGAGTTGCAGAAATGGAACATGACTGGTGACAAGAAACAGCAACTATACGTCACAGTTAACCCTCAATTGACACTTGTAGGCATACTAAAGACATAGATTTGACGTTGAATAGGCACTCTAGGCACGCGAAATGTCTATACACTCTAGTCGATGCTAACTAAAACTTATAAAAACAAAACACAACAACACTCTCGCTTTTTCTATATGCTCATGCTCATTCTCGTTCTTATTCTCATTAAAGACCTTCCCATCAGAAATACGTCGTCTCAGTCTCGTCAACAATCTGAACCTTGATGCTGCCGTTCTTGAGGTCCGACGAGAAAGTCAGACCTTCGAGGGCCTGCTCCAGAGGGAAGACGTGCGACACCAACTTCTTGACGTCGATTAGACCTCCCTCGATGCAGGCGATTCCGGCTGGCCAGGTGTCCTTGTATCGGTTGATGAATCGGAGTTGGATCTGTTGCGTGTTAGCTTTGAGTTGTCGGTTGAACAGACTGAAAAGAAACATACCTCGGCCAGAGACAGGTGCATGAATGGCAGGTTGTTCATGATGGCCCTTCCAACACCGACAACCATCAGGATACCTCCTCTCCGCACCATATAAGCCGCCGAAGTGACACTGCTCTCCACACCAGTACACTCAAGCGCAACGCGCGGCTGAACATACTCAGTCTCTCCAAACAGCTTTCTCACAGCCTTGCCGTTCTCCTCGGAGGACTTGGTAATGTCAACCTGGTAGGTAATAGCCGAGGGAACCATCTCCTTGGCGAAAGCCAGGCGCTTGGGCTCGACGTCTGTGATGACGAGGGGGTATGCGCCAGAGGCACGGGCGGCGGCGAGGGCGAGGAGACCGATGGGGCCAGCTCCGCAGACGACGACGGGTGTTCCGAGGGTGATGGGGGCAGAGTTGATGCCGTGGAGGACGACGCTCAGAGGCTCGAGGAGGGCGCCTTCAGCGAAGGAGACGTTGTCGGGGAGCCTGGGCGCATTGTTAGAAATTGTTAGCTGGAGGTTAGGAGAAGAAACTCACTTGTGAAGCCACTTGGCGGGATGGACCTTGTAGCGCTGAAGGGTTCCAGCGTAGGGGTAGACGCCTGAGAACTGGACATCTTCGCAGAGGTTGTATCGGCCGTCGAGGCAGAGGAAGCAGTTTCCGCAGGGTACACCAGGCTCAACAGCAACGCGATCACCTAAAAATGGTCAATTGGTGATCCAGAAGTCTATCACAGTATTATTACTTACCAGGCTTGAGGTTGGTGACGCCCTCTCCGCATCGAATCACAACACCAGCAGCCTCATGTCCAATGATACAATCACCTTCAAAAACGAGCGAACCGATACATCCCGTCTTCCAAAAGTGAACATCGGAACTACAACGGCCAAATTAATATTTTTCAGTCATCAACAGGGAATCGCGCCGCATACCCGCAGATGCCAGTGGCCTTGACATGAAGCAGCACCTCGCCGGCCTTGGGCGCATAGACGGGCGCATCGACCCTCTTGAGGTTGTGATCGGCTGTTACCTGCAACGAGGGGTTCGGGAGAGGCGCCTGCAGAAGCTCGGACTGGGGGGAGGTGCCGTTGAGCTTGAGCTTGAGCTCGCCATTGGTGACGGGTTTGGATTCTGAGATGGAGCACATTTTTGTTTGAATGATTGTCTGTTGAAGGAGGGAAAAGAGGGAGAAAGCAAAGAAAAGGGTTAAAAGAGAGAAGGAAAATCACCACATCGTCGTCGCCTCCTCTGCTATCATGATCCGCCCCAATAACTTATCGACAAGCACAGCCGAGTGTGCTCTTCGCATAATTACTGCATGTAGGCAAGGTCTCCATAGTCTCTGCGCATCACCTGGTCTCCCCGTCGAGTGCATCGCCCTTCCACTTCGAGAAGACGCAAAAGAAACAACCCCCGTCGACATGGTCCACTCTCTCTCCACACCAGCACCCGACCCCTGTCCATCTCCACAAGCTGGGGAATTGGTGCTTAGACATTCCTCTTTCGGCAAAGTCATGAGATGCTAGGTTCAACTTCGGAAGAGGAGGTACTAGACGTGTATGACGGAGTCCGAAGAGCGCGGTCGGTGATGGGATATAATGATGACCTAGGATGCCATGATACGAATCAAAGTAGAACGTATAGTCTCATTCAAAGCACCACAGACATCATGGCTACCGACACAGCAAAGCTCCAATTCTTCCCCTCCAAGCCCCGCGTCTTCATCGTCTCTGACATCTCTAATGAACCCGACGATGCGGAGTCGCTGGTGCGATACCTCTTGTACTCAAACCAGTTCAATACCGAAGGTCTCGTCGCATGCACATCGACATGGATGAAGACCAAGGTGTGTCCGCAGGATATGCACAAGATTGTTGATGCATATGCGGGCGCTGTCGATAACCTCAACAAACATGCCCACCCAGACTTTCAATACCCTACCGCCGAGTACCTGAAGAGCATCATCAAGCCTGGACCTCCAGTAAGCCACTTATTCCCCTGCATAACCTAATTCAACCATTGACACCCTCAGGTCTACGGCTTCAAAGCTATCGGCCATGACATCCCCCTCAGCGAAGGCAGCGAACTCCTCCTCGAGCGAGTCAAAGCCCCATCACAAGATCCCCTCTGGATCCTAGTCTGGGGCGGCACAAACGTCCTCGCCCAGGTCCTCTTCAAGCTCAAGCACTCCATCCCCGAGGCCGAGTTCGCCGCCATACGCTCGAGGCTGAGGGTCTACACCATCTCGGACCAGGACGACACGGGCGCTTGGATCCGCAACACCTTTCCCGACATCTTTTACATCTCGTCGGTCCACGCGTGGAACCAGTACGGCATGGCTGCTTGGACTGGTATCTCTGGCGACGAGTTTTATGGCTTTGATCAGGGCGGTCCTGACTTTTCCAAGCTTACCAAGGAGTGGTTCAAGGAGAATGTTCAGATCGGTCCTTTGGGCTCTGCGTACCCCAACTATATGTTTATCCCTGAGGGTGATACTCCTACCTTCTTATACCTCATCCAGAACGGTCTGGGCGTCTCAGAGCATCCTGAATACGGCTCTTGGGGAGGTCGTTACCTGCTCACTGACATCAGCGAGGCTGGTCTCGGAAGCAAGCACTATAGCGACGCCTGCGACAAGGTAGTGGGTAAGGACGGGAAGCTATACCAGTCCAACCATGCAACCATCTGGCGCTGGCGAGACGCATACCAAAACGATTTTGCCGCCAGAATCCAATGGACGCTCTCACCCTCGCTTTCATCGGCCAACCACCACCCCATCATCACCCTCAACGGCTCGTCAGGCACGTCGCCCATCTACATCTCCGCCGAGGCTGGTTCCACCATCACGCTCGACGCCACTGGAACGTATGATCCTGATGGAGACAAGCTCACATACAAATGGTGGCAGTACCGCGATCCCAGTGCATCTCAATGGGCGACATTCTTCGAGGTGGACGGTACCAAGATTGAGAATAAGGATGGTAACGACAAGATTGTTGATGTGACGCTTCCTCCTCCGGAGCAGTGCTGTGTTGAGCTTCTTAGCAGAGCGGCCATCGCCAAGGGTCAGGTCCTGCATATTATTCTTGAGGTGACGGACTCAGGGACGCCGAGCTTGACGAGTTATAGGAGAGTCATCATTCAGACAACGAACAAGGACCTCAAGGGTGGTCAGGCACCTCGAGAGGCTATCGGCGATGTTGTTGCCGCATAGAATTAAGTAGATTTAGTAGAATAATACGAATTTTCGTAACTATGATTCCATCACAGATTAAACATGTCAGTTTTATGATAAATACTCGTAATGGTGTCCTACACCACTGTCAGGGGCTTGCATGACGCAGCTTGACCAGGGAAGCAGATTATAGGCACATGTGTATCAACAGACTTCAGTGCATATTATCTACAAGATGCATACCACAATTTTCACTGCTCATAGATAAGAATCACATGTACGTTAAATGCCAACTCAACACACCCAGGCACAGTAGATCATGTTGATTCTCAGTTTGTGGTATTTCATTTCTATTTGACGTCTATCTCATTACTTTTTGATCTTATATACTCATTCCCCATGCAAAGCCAACCTGTAGCTTTCTAAGCAAAGATGCGCAGGGGGTAGTTGGGCAGGTAGAAGCCGGGATCGTTGAATCGCAGACCGCGGTCCAGGGCAGAGATGCTCTCGAGCTCGTCCGAGGTGAGGTCGAACGCCACAACGTCAAGGTTCTGGGCGAGACGATTGGGGTTGTTGGACTTGGGGATGACGGCAATGCCGCGTTGGGTGGCCCAGCGGAGGAGGATCTGGGCGGGGGTCTTGCTGTACTTGTCGGCAAAGCCCTTGATGAGCTCGGCCTCGAGGAGGGGCTCGGCGCCGTGGGCTCTCTTGGAGAAGATGCCGGGGAGCTCCTTGAAGCTCTGAGGGCCGAAAGAGGAGTAGGCTGTCACGGCAATCTTGTTCTCCTGGGCCATGGCGATCAGGTCGGGCTGGACGAGGTAGGGGTGGTGCTCGATCTGGAGGGAAGACACGGGGTGGCGGGCGTATCGCTGGAGATCGTAGAGGGACTGAGCCTGGAAGTTGGAGACGCCGATGGACCTGGCAATGCCCTCGTCGACGACGGTCTCGAGAGCCTCCCATGTCTCGCGGATAGGAGTGTTGTCGGGCTTGACGGTGCCCTGCTCATCCATCCACCAAGCCTAAGTAATGTCATTAGTCCTTGTGCTCAAAAAGCCGTTCAACACAACTCACGGGGAATCGTCGAGTAGCAGGGTCAATGTACTCGAGAGAGACGGGGAAGTGGATCAGGTAAAGATCAATGTATCCGAGACCCCAGGCCTCGTTCTGGAGCTTGGCCATGGCCAGGGCATGCTCGCGCTTGTGGTAGTTGTTCCAGAGCTTGGTGGTGACAAAGATGTCCTCACGCTTGACGAGGCCCTCGCTGATGGCGCGCTTGATACCCTCGCCGGCCTCCTTCTCGTTCTGGTAGTCGTACGCTCCGTCGAAGAGTCGGTAACCAGCCTTGATGGCCTGTAGAGCTTGTCAGCATATTTGAGGGCAATTCAATTGAAGCACATACGTTGTAGACAGTCTCGGCAGCCTGGTCGGCAGGGACCTTCCAGAGGCCAAAGCCAACAAGGGGCATCTCGTGCCCGGAGGCGAGCTTAATAGTAGAGGGAGCCATTGTGAGATCTGTGAGAGATGATAGAAAGTAAAGAGAGTGAGTATGAACTTGTCACAAAAAAAAACCTTCCCTCCTCCTCTCTTATTCTCGTCCCCTTCCCTTCTCCCCGCTTCGATGATGCTGCCCCTCCATGATGAAGCGACAGACCGAGTCAGGTACCCCGGTCGGTCAAGGCGCTAAACAATTCCTGACTCGTCACCTTGACTCGCGCTAGAAGCGTCTCGCCTTTCCCCAAGGAGCAACGTCGGCTGACCCCGGCTCCCCCGCGTGTGGGAAAATACCCAAATGCTTCAAGTTTCCCACTTTGGCTTCACCCACACACTCTTCCCTTTCCCTCATCCCACATTTTTTTTGTGCACCCCAACTTTTTCTCGATAATGACGGATGCGGTATCCAAGACCCGCCTCAGAAGGACGAGGACGGGATGTTTCAAGTGCAGGGTCCGCAGGCGAAAATGTAAGATGATCGATCGCCGTACCAATGCAATGCACACCACTAACACGACTTATCAGGCGACGAAGGGAAACCAGCCTGTCAGCGGTGCGTCGATGGCGGCTTCGAGTGTCAGTACGGCACGCGGTTATCCTTTCTCGAAAAGAATGCCAAAACGTCCGGAGACCCTGCACGAGCTGCAAAGCCCTCGTATGCTAAATTGAGAGTGCGTGCCATCTCAAGTCCAAGCTTCACCTGATCCCCACTGACACATTGTTTCCTCGCAGTTTGTCGTCCCAGAGTCGACTGCAGCCAAGCCTGGTGTTCAGTTCCAGGAAGATGAAGCAACCTCGAATGAGCCCGAGAAGAGGCTGAGCACGCCTGTTGAACCAAAGTCGGCATCCCCAAAGGAGAATCTCATCCAACAGCAGCCTGAACCTCCAGCATTGATCAGCCCCAGTCTTGGAGATTATAGCGCCACCTCTCCCCATGCTTCAGGTAGTCATGAACTGCAGGATCCCAGCAGCTACACCATTGGCATCTCGCCATCCAATGCTGCCTATGAGACTGCCCTCGATGGGCTGCTGTCGTTAGGGAACGATCACTATGTTCCTCAATCAGCTTCCGTCACCTCCCAGGTCACTGCCAATGGAGGCTTTTTCGAGTCTCCCAACCACGGCCAACACCATGCCACTCCAACCCAGTTTGACATGAGGGATAAGCCCCTGGCTGAGATCTTTCCCAATTGTCTCCATATGCCCCAGGATCGTGCAGTTGAGCTGCTGCGACACTACAGATATCACATTGCTCCATGGGTACGTACATCTCTCTGATCAATCTACCAAATCTACCATCTAACAAGCCTATTCATAGTTGGATATTGGCGACACGAAACAGACCTTTGGCCTCTTGGTACCGCGCATCGCTATGGACTCTGCTCCCCTTCTCGACTCACTTTTGTCTCTCTCCCTGACGACCCTCGGAGGCCATGTCGAACCTGACTTTGGGGAACAACTGATCTTACCGTCTGATCCAAACAACTCGAGTACCGACATTTTACGCAATGCCTTGACTTTTGCTTTTATTGCCCTCCGTCGACATTTCATTACTCCCCCAACTTCATGGCAGAGTCCATCCAAGAGCGTGGGCTTTGATTCTTTAAACTCGGCCTCTTTTCAGGAGCAGCATCCCTCTGTCGCATTAGCTACTTCTTGGATGATGCTACGACTCAGTAAGTTTGCCTCGGATGATAATGTACACTATCGCTAACCAAGAATTAGATCTTAGCGTTGGCCTCATGAACGGCTCCCCCGTGTCCATCCCCTCACTCATCTCGTTCGAGACCTCTTCACCCATGAACGGAATATACAGGGAATCTCTTAAATACGATCGGGAACCGGTTATCCTATGCGCTCAGGTCCTCAATTACTGCTTCGGAGGCGACGTCGCAACGTCTCCTGGCATGATCCGTCCGACTGCCGCTCAGAGATGGAAATCCTTTTCCGAGGCTCTGAAAATGTGGTACACGAACCGTCCTCGAGATTTCAAGCCCATGCTGGAGATTGATGACAATGAGCAACTATTCCCTCTTGTCCTCTTCACCAATGGGGCGGCCGTCTTGGCCAACCAACTCTATCACACCTCAATGTTGCTGCTGCTCCAGAATCGGCCGCGAACACTTCCAAAGGAGCACGGCCGGTCGGTGTATCTCTCTCCCTTGTGGCACGCTCAGCGAATATGCGGCATCAGCTTGAACAATGACACTCGAACCAGCTGGGACTTTAGTCTTCTGGCCTCGTTGTATCTCGCCGCCAAGAGGATGACCTATGAGCCCCAGCAGCATGCGATTCTGCGTGGGATTGACCGCATCGGATCTCTGACGGGTTGGAATGTAAACGCCCTCTCGGCGCAGCTAGTCCATGAGTGGCAGCCGGATTAAGGAGCTGTCGTAGTCTAAAGTATATCTCTCAAGATTAGGCAAGAGATGGCATTAGACGCTCATCGAACTTTGTATCCCCAGGAATTTTCGAGATCTGCGATGCGCCAACAAGTTGCCCAGCCAGTCATTGCCTCTATGCTTTGGATAAGCTTGGAGAGAAGAAGATGCTCTGACTTGTGGCTGAGAAGCCGGCCAGCAATCCACAGGGGTTGGATGGCATTGTTGAGGCACCCCTGGTGCGGATTGGTTAAAGAGATACCGCAGATGCACTTGGCATGCCAGATGGCAGATCCTGTAGGTCCCACATCAAGTTTGACTTCCCGCGGTTTCGAGCCCAGGAGGAGGGTGCAGGCAGTGTGGTAGAGCTGGTTGGAGGAAATTCCTGCCCAGTGGACAAAAAGAATCTGGGGAAACGGGCGGCTTTCGATGAATTGAACCGGAACGACCTCTGAGGGCCGATCCTGCACCCAGGTCTGCAGGTCGTTCCAGAGCCGCAACCAACGTCTCTCAAAGGTGGCCGAATCACAGCCGTTGTCCTCACCAAGCTCAACGTAGTGAGTTCTGTCAGCAACGAGCTCTGTGACTTTGGAGCATAGGTAGACTGCGTAATTGGCGTGCATGTCTGGCGAGCGGTGGTCCCGGAAGATGTCGGCAGCTGAGTCTGGATTTGCGCCAGGGGGGAGCCATTTGTCCAGAGGGACCAAGGTGCCTTGTGTTCCGTCGGAGATTAGAGCACCGCAAAGGTCTAGAGAGAGTCAGTATCAGAGTAGAAAGACGACAATGAGGAAATGCGAACCCATTCTTGCGTAACACCAGAATACGGCCTGTAAGAGTCCACCACTGAAACCATTGACACCAAACGCGTCGAATAGGGCCGCACAGCCCTCGAGATGCCGGCGCCAATCCTGGGGGCTTGCGGACATCATTTCCAGACAACAGAGAATGACGCAAATTGGGATGATGGTCAGGTCTCGGGCTTGGAGCAGAGGGTTGAGAAGACGAATAGCCTCCTGGTACAGCTCAAGGCTGTCAAAAGAATGCTGCTTTGCCTCCTTTCGCTCCATCTGACGCGCAGACAAGGCGAGGATTGCGTAGAGCAGAGCCGGGCACCGGCGAGCGAGAACCGGGACCTGGACAGTGAAAGCTCTGTTGCTGTCAAACATGTCGAGCTACAGGAACCAATTAGCAAGCGTCGCAAACACTCGAAACATGAACATACCCAGGGAGCTACTTGAGCAACATAATTTTTCAGATACTCTAACCGTCGTCCAGACGAGAGGGCGGCCTTTGTCTGAGCCTGGGCCACAAACTCTTCATCGGGTGGGCCATATTCCCCTGGGGCAGGGGATGACTCGCGAGAAGGCGCAGCTGTCTGGGCAGTGTTGAAGATGAGGCATCGCAGCTCCTCCTGGTATGCGAGGTATCCTGGATCCTGGACAAACTGATCCAGGGGCCAGCTGTTGGATGGCGACGAGGAGCTGTCGGTCATTGAGAATGAAGTCATTTTTGGCAGGGAGGTCAGGTTCTGCTGAAGCAACTGGAGCTTTTGCTCAGGGACCTCACAGACACAGACGCGGCCCGGCGGCCAACAATGTCGCGTGTAAGTGAAGGGGGCAGAAAAAAACAAGTCTTGGCGAATTCGGTCTGAGCGGTCAATGGAGAATATTCAACAAGAGGCAGTCGGTGAGGCAAGGTGAGCAGACAGATACATACACCTGACGTCCTCGTATGAGAACGGACAGGAGGAGAAAGCATGACTTGTTGATGTTTGTTAAGCTAGTGACCCCATCTTGGAGAGGTCAGGTGCGACTTTGTTGCCAGACGCCAGCCTGAATCGAGCTTAATCAACCCCTGCACGTGCGGGGTTGACAGCGGAATTGCGGGGAGTTGAGCTGCATCCTCGGGTCTTGGACTCAACCCCAAATTGCACTGATTTCCTTTGAAGGAGTTGGAGTTGCTGCTGTGGATTTTCTTCTCAATCAACGTCAGGATGACTTCAATGTATTTACCTTCATCTAGCAGTTAACTTGACATCAGGGATTGTCAGCCTTGACCCTCGTCTTAGAGCCAATTATGTCAACAGCCAGAGCCCGAGCGTTGGAAGAGCAGTATTCTCAGCTGGAAGTCTAGGTTAGCAGATGGACAATGAAAGGAACCATCTCGCCAACACGCAGCAACTCGGATTGATGCCGGATGCCGGATTAAACATGTTTGCTATTCATCCTTGACTCGTGCTGCATGCATAACTCTAACCATCTTTCGTCTGGTTCACGGATACTTACACGTTAGCTGCAGACGACAATAGAATCCATCAAAGCTCGCTTCGGTGAAAAGCAGCTGTAAGAAAAAAATGCTGATGCCCCCGACCTGCAGGGAGCACGCGCTAGAGGTTTCCATCCTTCCAGCTGGATTCACAGCAAGCAGCCAGTGAGATGCCTCGGACCAGCACGCAGAGCTGTCTCATGTACCTTGCATCTGCATCGGTCGACGGTGAAACATGCAACACCGAGGGTACAACCGAGAGGAGAGCTTCTCGCCACCGTCGTGAGCTTGCATGCGCTTTGTCGGTTTTTAGTTTTCGTCTATTTGGTGAGAGCGTTGGTGATGACCTCGGGAAACGGGCCATGCGTCCCAGGCCACCGCTGTGGTTGCCATGGCCAGTACAGAGTACTTGATGACATGAGTCGCTTGTCGTCATGGTCAAGCTGCCCATCGCCCTCTAGTTTCATCATCATTGCATCCATCTCTGTGGATCAGCGTGTCTCGGTTGTAGTGAGAACACCTGCTTTTACTTACACGGAACACCATGATTGCCAAAAACACCAACCAATGTTTTAGAGCATTCATCTTTTGGAAATAGAGTCGACGGATAGTTCCGGCTCCTAGCACAATGTAATGTACCGGAAACCTAGGTCCACTGTTTTGAGCCCGCACACATGGCTTCACCAGGGGCCATCCGTGCTTCCATGACCTGATCTGGAGAGTTGCAGCCATCCCCTGCCTCCCCTGTCCCCGTCGTCACCCACGTCGGCGCTAGATTTCTTCCATACCAGAAATGATCCATCCCGTAGGTCAAGGTAATCACACAAGATGAAGATGCTCACGCGCAAAAGGAGTCGCGAAAAAGGGGTTCCCCTGCTCTTCAGGGTCCTTGTCTAGAGCCTTGCCTCACCGCCCAACCCACTGGGTCAGACTCCATACTATTGTTCGAGAAGCCTGGGATTTGCGTCGCTCATCACAGTGATTTTCTTTTCCCGGGTTCATGCAGCAGTCAATAAATTGGACTTGGACCTATTTGGCACAGCACAGCTGCTTTAGAGTTTAACCACTCGCTGACTCGACGAGGCTGGCTGGATGCTGCTTTGACTGGAGGAGGCTTCTCCAAGGTTTGGTTCGGCCCGCCTCTGCTGCGATTCGAGGCCAGTCCCGCGGTTGTGCCAGCGCCGGGCGGGAATTGGCGCCATCACGGCCGCGATCATCATGATGGTCCTCCGTTGGCCTCGGATTGGCGTTTTTGGGGGCTTACTCTTGTTTTGGATCTGCAGCATGGGGCATTTCTGGATGGATACTTGTGAGCGGATGAACTAATTGACGACGTGTACAGGATACAAGTCTGTACAGGATACCTGCAGCTGCAGCGTAGCGACTGGTAGATTCATCTTCAGGTGGTGGTGGTGATGGTGACAACCAGGGACCAGGTTTAGTCAGGTACCCCGTGCCATGATGTAGTCCTTGGTTAGCAGTTGGAGCCAGCGCAGAGCCAGAGCCTACAGATAGTGGACAGTACAACGCAAACACGCGGGCGCGCTTGCTGTTCTGCTCTTACGATGCGACGTCGGACGGAATCCGTTCTTGCGCATGCCCGAAAGTGTTTCATGTGTATCCAATTCTTCTCCGCATCCTCTTGTGCGCACATTGTCCATCAAGCCATCATTTTTTCTGGCTGCCCTCCTGTCCAGTCCAGTACCAGGTACCTCACACCTTTCATGTCTGGTGGATGGTGTTCGCAGGCTTTTGGCCAAGTTAATTAGCCCAGCGTCTGCCCCTGCATCACCATCCCTGTCGACCCTCTCTTCACGGACGCTTCCCTCGATGGGACTGGACGAATGGGGGACCCTTGGCTCCTGGGCGACGCGATACTTTCTTTGTTGGACCCAGACGAAAGTACTCCGTACTACTGAAATTCCTCGCCCGGCGCCGTCGAACGAACCGAACGGACAAGAGACGAGACACCAGACCAACAACCTACCAGTCACCCTCTGTCACGCCAGGCCCAGTCAAAGCCAGCAAGCCAACTGGCCGACCATCTCGCGCGTGGCTTTTGCATCCCGGCGTCGTCTCGCTCGACTGACCGGAAAGCGGGCTGCTAGCAAGCCTGCAAGCCTTAGCTGCTCAGATTGGATCTGATCCAGACAAAAAGGAAGCCTCCTAACCCGGGCCCCCGTCCACGGCCATGCCCTCGCCCTCGTTCTCGTCTTCGCCCCCATCATCGTCGGCGGACAATGCTCGTCGCTGGACTCGACGTCGGCCCCATACCGACCTGAACATCAACACCAACACCACACCGTCCTCCCTTGCGTCGCCGCTGCCCAGGGACGTCCGGCGCGTCATTCCGCACCCGCAGACGCCGCCTGCCCACGGCTCGCTCTACAGCACGCCGCCGCCGCCAGCCGTCCCAGCCGTGCCCGCCTTGTCTAAGTCACTGCCCACCGCTGATGGTCGGGCGCTTAGATTGCCCATCGACACCGACGCGCATGAGTCCTTTCTAGAAAACCCTACTCCCGTCGAGGACGACATGGCCGAACGCCTGCCGCCGCATGTGAACCAGCGAGATTCGCACGACCTCTCGCTGTCTCCCCGAAACGTCACCCGAGACTCGCTCGTCACTAACATGCTCCTATCGCTCGACCAGTTCTCCATGGCACAGTTGAGCGACAAGTACGGACCCTCCCCTGGATCGCGCTCACATACTTTTGACGAAGCCTCGCCCCAGTTTGGCGCCGCCGAGCAGACACGGAGCTGGGTCGCTGCCAATTCTGTCGCAGGACCACCTCGAGTCAACGGACACCAATACTCCTATAGCTCCGACCTGGAGGGAGCAGACGATTCTAGCCGCATCTCGAGCCGCGGCCGACGAAGCAACAGCAGTTCCAATTTCCAATCGAGCTTTCCGCGCCTCAATAGCGTTCGCGAGGGGCACCGAAGTGGTTCATCGAGAGCCATGCATTCAAGAGGGGGCAAGCCGGGCAGCAAGAGCAGCAGCACCACCAGCGTCGATGCTGGATACGCTCAGGTCCTTGGTAGTCAGCGATGGGCGCGCGGGTTTGGAAGATCTGCCAGCTTCGACTACGGACCTCAAGCACCACAGCAGAGCGCCCCCGTCGCCGAACCCACCCCCTTCCGAGTCGAGTTTCCAAACAACTTTCTCGCCGATGAATACGACGCTGCCCCGACTCCAACGGTCCCGGGCGGCCCGCGACGGGAGCCGTCGATCCCAACGATGCCGACAATGTCTACGGTACCGCCACCTCCGCCCGCACCCCTGGAGCCGCCTCCCCTCGAGCACAAACGCAGCAGCCGTTCGTTAAAGAGCTCTTCCGGGCGCAAACCTCCCAATACACGGGATAATGCACCTGCAGTTCCAGCTCTAGACCTTGATTCAGCACCTGCACCCCATATTGGGTATGAAAAATCCAAGGATGTGGCCGTGCACAGCGGCCCAGCGCCTGCGACACCTGCACCTGCACCCGTGAAGGAGCGCCCTGGATTTTTCAGGAGGGTCTTTGGTTCCTCCAGAGGCAACTCACATAACAGCAACCACGACTCGACAACAACAACTCAAACCCCACACTCGACCACTTCTGCCGACCACTCCAAGATGGTCTCCAATGGCTCGACGCCGCCCTCCCGAGATACCTCTTCCTCGCATTCACACCACCCTGTGCTGCAAAAGAAACCATCATCGTTCTTCCGCCGCCGAAAGAAGTCCGTCACTGACGATCCTCCCCCTCTGCCCACGTCGATACCTACACCTCCCGTGCCTACAGTTGCTCCCATCGCTGTCCCTCCCGAACGCGAACGAGACCTGGGTAATTCTCTGCCTCAGCCTAGCCCTGTTAGCAGCTTGCGAAAGGTCATGAACCCGTATCTGCGAAACAGCCAGGCTGTCCAGGGCACTCCTCAAGGCCCCTCTCCCCTTGCCGACATCTCCAACGTAACTCCCGATCATGTCGACAATACACCCGAGAGGGAAGTCTACAAGAGAGACTTTTCCCCTGATTATTCGCCAAGCCCCAACGCCAGGATCCGGGCAGTACGATCCGATTCTGATGAGTACCTGTCCAAGCGAAATAACACACCCTCGCGTCCCCCACCCGAGAGGCCTACTAAGGCCATCGAGACGCGCAACAACTCCTTCCTGAACCTGGACGGAGTTAGCGACAACGATGATGACCAGGGAAGCCCTTCAAACCGGAAGCTTTCCAACAAGTCCAAATCCAAGTCAAAGTCTAGGCCATCAGACATCATGACCACACGGGACAGCCCCCGAGGTGCCAAAGACCACACCGTCAGGGTCAAGAAGTCATTCCAGCGACCGGAACAGACTGATTCAGAAGACGACCCCAACCGTTCAGCCCTTGCATTGCCTATTGAAGGTGCACGAGCGACAAGCCCTGCATCAGTATCAACCGGCACAGACTACAAGTCTGCCCTCAGCGCCCCTCCTAGCGTGAGAATAGAGAGCTCGGCAGACCCTAGTCCCAAGGTGTTGGGCACATTCGACGCTATCAAGACCAATGCCCTTGACGAGCCCGATTTCGTTATTGGCGATCCGACCGAGGATGATAAGCAAAAGGCACAGAAGATCTATGATGGAAATGAGGACTTTGTCTCGAAAGAAAAGGCGGCTGCTTGGATGGGTGAAGAAGGTCCAATCAGGCAACGCACCCTGCAAGCCTACATGGAGTTGTACGACTTTACCAACCGCAGCATCGTTCATGCTCTGCGACAAGTATGCGGACGATTGGTGTTCCGTGCAGAAACTCAACAGGTGGACCGCATTCTCGTGGCCTTCTCCAAGAGATGGTGTGACTGCAATCCCAACCATGGGTTCATAGTGACTGGTGAGATGAGCGTTGCACTTTTACTGGTCCTTGAAGCTAACTGATGATAGATGTGATCCACACCATTTGCTACTCGATCATGCTGCTCAACACTGACCTGCATCTGGCTGATATCGAGCAGAAGATGACCCGCAGTCAATTCATCAAGAACACCATGACAACCATCACGCAGGCCGTAGAGGAATCGGCCCCTGATGTGTTTCATAGGCCAAGTGTTCTTCCAGACAAGAGCTCACTTGCAACTGGCGAGAACCACGAACAACCCCCCGAACAAGATCGAAGGTCCTTCAGGAACTCGTTCAGACCCCCGCCTCGTGCAGACTCTGGAACTCTCCCTTCAGAGGGTGACGAGGATTGTGGCCCATTAGTCAAGTCCCGATTCAATGGAAGCAAGAAGGCGTGGGAAGAACTGATTGAAGTTGTTCTCAAAGGCATTTACACATCCATTAGAGACGAGCGTCTGCCATTGTTTGGCGCCGAGGCTGAGAAGAATCTGAGCCTTCCACAGTCGAATAGCGGAGGGCTCTCTGTCATGGGAATGCTGAAGAGAAGCCCTAGCGTCCTTAGCAAGGCACCGTCAGAGAGTCAGCTGTCGGTTCGTGGTCGTATTTCAGAGAACGGTAGGGCCAACACGGCGAGATGGACATCCAAGAGCCGATCTCGACCCGGTCTTGGCCGCAATGGATTCTCGTCTAGTCGTACTAGCTTCGACGACGGGAATTCACTCTGGAGCCACACTGTATCGTCAGCCACCTGGAGCCGCCATTCTCTTGGAAGGACTCAGACGTCAGTTTCTCAGGATTCATTTGGCTCAGCCTTGCCCCGGGGCGATTATCAGCAGTCGATTGGCTTTGCAAACGCCCTGAGCCAAGCCATCATCCGAGACGAGGACGCATATGGGGAGACGGCTCCATCGATTTTGAGCGCCGATCTTCCATCTACACAGCTTCTTGAAGACGACTCTCTTGAACTTGCTGGACCACCATGGGTCAAGGAGGGAATTGTCACCCACAAGCACCATTTGGATGGCGTGGACAAGAAGGCCAAGGACAGGCACTGGTCCGAAGTGTTTGCTGTCGTCCAGAAGGGACAAATGAGTTTGTTCTCTTTCCAACCAAACAAGTCGGTTCGGCAGAGGAACCGCAGCAGACATGGTGGGCCTCCTGCGATCGTGGGAGGCGGCAACTGGCAAGACAATGCAACGAATCTGGGAACGTTTAACCTTCGTCAAACTCTTGCATCTGCACTTCCACCGCCAGGCTACTCTCGCACGCGCCCCCATGTCTGGGCACTCAGTCTGCCTAACGGTGCTGTTCACCTGTTCCAAGTTGGCACACCTGAGATTTGCAAGGAGTTTGTCAACACGGCGAACTATTGGAGTGCTCGACTGAGCACTCACCCGCTGACGGGCGGCATCAGCAACATTGAATACGGATGGAGCGAGGCTATCGTTAACAACGCCTTGGTCGCCGCTATCAATGAGACGTCAACGACGACTACAACCGGCGGCAAGACGTCGCGCCCCAGCAGCAGCGCGGCCCATGGCCGAAGATCAAGTGTCAACAGTGGTAGCTTCCGAGGATCAAGCTTCGACCATGTTGCTGGTGCTTTTACCAACAACAGTGGACGAGGCAAGCTCCCTGGCGACCGCATTCACATCGCAGAGTGGGCACCACCAACCCAGAGCATGCGTCCCAGCAATTCGCCAGAAGCAGAACAGCTTCAAACCTTGGATGCCTATGTCAAGAGCATCGAGGCAGAGCTACAGGCTCATAACCAACTACGTAGCCCTATGCTTTTGGCATTTACTCCTAGGGGTGGCAATGCTGTCAAGGCCATGGCTAACTGGGAGCGGAAGAGTGCGTATCTGCTCCGCGAGATCGTCAAATTCAGGACATACGTCGACTGCCTTCAGCAGGCCGACTCTAGAAAACAGGAGATTTACTCGGAGAGGGACCTTGCGCAGCGAGCTGCCCGAGGTGAGCTCAGTGACGGCGAGATGGAGCTCAGCAGCGACGATGAGGGGGATGTAACATTGAGGCCATGATATTGGCCCTTGTACGACACTACGGAGCAGTTTAAACATACACGGAGCTGCATTATGGGTTTTGGGCGTTTGAGATTTTCCGAGTTTCTTCTTTTGGTCGTTGCCCAGCCCTGATACCCCAAAGTTTGTGGTTCACGACACGCACCATTCATTCATTTCTTCAATTCTCTCAATGTATAAAGAAACGAGCATTCTTATTTTTGGTTGTGGTAGAGAAGGAGGAGTGAAGGATGGTCAGTCATATGAAGGAACGCCAGCAGATGGGATTAAAACGAGGCGTTTTCAAGAAAAGCCAGAAACAAGTTGGATATTGTCAAGATTATTAGACTTCTTCTTTGTAATGATTATTATGACACCAGGGGTTATTGATTCATTGTTGAACTGGTTGAGTACTTGGATTGTGATTATCTTGTTTAGCTATGGAAGTATGTAAGTACACGGTGTCTTGTCTTATGTATATGATGGTCTTCCAGTTGACTCGGTCAGGACAATCAGCAATAGTTGAGCATATCGGTCAGGGCAGTCTTCTCGGCGCTGGTGATGGCTAGCTGCCAGTAGCTCTTGACTTGGATCCAGCTCTTGGCATAGGTGCAGTAGAAGCTGGTCAAGGGAGGCTTCCAGGTGGCGGGAGTGGCGCTGCCCTTGGCCTGGTTGACGTTGTCGGTGACGGCCCAGAGCTGGGGTCGAGTGATGTCGTTGGCAAAGTCCCTCCGCTTGGCGGTTGTCCACGAGGCGGCACCGGACTGGAGGCATGTTAGCTGGGAGAGGAGGTAGAGGGGAAGGTTGAGACTCACGATCCAGGCGTTTTGGAGGGGAACCATGTGGTCAATGTCGACGTCGCTGGCCGCTGTCCATGTTGCGCCGTCATAGGGAGAGCGCCATGTTCCAGAGGTGGCGGCGCAGGCACTGTTGGTCACGACATTGGTGCCGTCACGCTGAAGGACAAACTCGCTGGGACTATTCAGTATACAAATGTGTGAGGTTGAAGGTTTGGTACATACCGGGTGTTGCAAGCTCCAGAGACAGTCTCCCAGTGAGGAAACAGGTCTCGGTCGTAGGTATCAGTGTTGGTGGGCGTGCCGACAGTGAGGCCGCTGAGGAGGGACCTGGCGGTCGACTCGGTAGGGATACCGGGCTATATATGAGGTTGGTGATGCAGCCTTACAGTCTAGATGGTGGATGACTTACAGGGGTGGGAGCGGCAAGGGCGCCAGTGGCCGAGACGAGGAGAGCAAGAGAGAACTTCATTTTGAGAGACTGAGACTTGAGGATGCAGATGAAGATGAGGATGAGAAGAGACGAGATGAGTGGTGTTTGCGTGATGGCTTTATATTAATTAATTCGTGATACCGGCCTCCTCCCATGGACTTCCCCTCCTGCAATGTACCACCACCAATAGCTGTCTAAGTCTTGTCCGCAAACTATACCTATGCATTGGAATAATTCCTCCTTCCTCGTTGGATCATCTCCCCCGGAGACTACCGTCCCCTCTCGCGATGCCTTCACCGAATAGCCAATCTTGGGCACAAGCCCGTACCTTATCTCTGTCGATCTTGGACGCACGAGGTGCCGTGATAGGACGAGTGCTATCGCGGAGGGTGCGGAGCAAAGTCCCAATCAATACCTCTAGGTCCGCCAAGACTCGAGCGGAATCAAGCGTTTAATAAGTCAAAAGGTCGTGGATGAAACACTGCGAGGACGGAGCTTCAACCAGGTCCAGGGTATCACCTGATCAGTCCAGTCAACGCTCGAGATGCTCACACGCATCCCGCCGATCATTCACGGCAGACATGCCCGCTCCGGGACACGGCGCTGTGGGGGTAACGGGTGTTAACCTTCCTTTTGGGGTAGTTGGCCTTGCGGACCCCTGTTTAGATTCTTTGTTAGTTTGCATGCTTTCTAGTTGAGGGTTCGAAGATAGAGACGTACGACGAGGATGAGGGAAGAGGCCGTCGGCGAGAAGCTATCTTAGATATCGGGATTAAGTCCTCTGTGGACTAGGACTTCGGCGCGATGCGCACAGCGGTCAATGAGTTGAGAGTTGTTGAGATAGTCGAGGGCACTCCAGCCTTTACTATCAACGGCGTTGATATCCAAACCCTTGGCGAGCATACGGTCAAGGACCTCGGCAAACCACCTTTCGTCTGAACCAGATGATATGTAGTTATCCGTGACGAGTAGGTGCAGGGCCGTCAGCCCGCCTTTCGCTCTCGCGTTGACATCGATGCCACGGTCCAGCAGGGCCTGCAACAGTGAAAAGTCGGAAGCTATGGTATGCCATCGCATATTTTCAGCCAAAGTATGTAGAAGAGTCTTGTCCTGCTCTCCTGTTCACCTGATGTTGATGCCGGGGTTTATTAGGTCGACGATTGCTTCGCTGCTATAGTGACGGCTCCCTAGGAGTTTGGCAATAAGCTCCTCCGGCTTTGGGCCTCGAATGATATCTCCGTAGTGAGTGAGTAGAAATGTGAGACTCTTATTCTCATATTCAGTTAGTGGAAGGTCAAGGATGGCTTCGAGAAGTCTGTTGATTCCTTCTGGGGATTCGTCCGGAAGGCCAATGCCCCGACTGTATATGATCTCGGCGGCTGCAGCATTTTTCTCTTGGAGAAGGCATTTGACAAGATGATCCGAATCTTCCGGGATTCCACAGCGCAGGAGGGCATCGATGCAGGCTGAAATAGTATCTCGGGTTCCATTGTCGATGTCCTGGGTCGTCAGCGCAAGGCGCAAGTGAAATGCATCAACGAATGCGCCGGCGTCGACGAGCATAGCAATAAGCTCGCTCCTGGAGAAATGGATGGCGATGGTCATGGGTGTGTCTCGAATGCTGTTGTTAAAAGCGTCAAGATCAGCCTCTGCATCGATCAGAGCTGTGACGATGGATTTGGTCTCCTCGGCATAGGACAATGTTATAGCCCTGTGTAGCGGCGTCAATCCTCCATCGTCAGCCAGGGTCAGGTCAGCTCCCTCCAAAATGAGATATTCAATAGCATTTATATTGTATGCTGTCTCCATGGCATATGCCAGGGCCGTGTTACCCGCTTTGTCAGGTAAATTGATATCCACGGCGTATTGATGATGAAGGTCCCGGATAAGATGATGCTGCCCATACTTGGCAGCGATGTGCATCGCATTGAGGCGTCTTTGTAACGATGGAACTACCGGTTTGTTGAACTCGGGCTTCTCGATAACGAGTGATGCTCCCTTGTCGAGTAGGAACCTGACAGTGTGGTCATGGCCTCTCTCGATGGCAGTGTAGAGAGGACTCACGGAGCGACGAAAAGTGCGAGCCCAACAATCCGCCACATTAATCTTTTCAGTTCTCGTCCACGAGTTGATGTCACCTCCATGATCGAGTAGGATCTCCAAAATGTGGTCATGTCCTCGGCTGGCAGCCACATGTACGGCGTTGCCGTTCATCTTGTACAGACAGCCACCAAAAAATGGCGACTCTGCGATGGGAGATTTCATCTTTAGGGCCATCCGAACGACTGACTCGTATCCCTTGTAGGCACCCCATGAAAGAGCGCGGGTGTGTTTCTCAGGTCCCCAGCCGTGCTTGACCTCGTCGTGGTGGAGTGTCCAAATTGCTGCGTAATTCAACGGCTTGATCTGAGCGGCCGTGAGGAAGGTCTCCGTATCAAGAAAACTGCAGAGGACGAGTAAAACGTCTGGCGATAGCTTTATGAGGTGGTTTTCTGAAGACATCGTTGCGGTTGTTGATGGGGCGACGATGATGGCGAGGGATAGTGAAAGTGAGAAGAGTAGAGAAGAGAAGAGAAGAGAAGACGAAGAAAAAGCGATCAAGTTGGGAAAATGGTGAATGAGCTTAATCAGGAAGATTAAAACGGCGTTTGGGATTACGGACGGCTCAATAAATAGAGGTAAACGATAGCAGTATTCGACACCAGTTGACCAGGTGTATTAACAGTGAACACGCGAACGAACTCGACTGAGAATCAAAACAAACAGAAGAGACCATGGATTTTATACCTTGATCATTAGGCTTCAAAAATTTGGCAAAATTTCAACTTTTATAAGTTTTATTCCAAAAGACTGCTACAAGGTTAAGACGGTATTATCCCCGTGATGCTTTACTGGTTTCCTGTTTCTTTTTTCTTTTCAAAAGCAAAGCTCAACAAGGTTTAAGAGAAGAAGAAAAATACGTTTGACGTAGAAGCTAGAGAAAGGAACCCGTCAATTGATGCAGATCAGTCTTGACAGAGCATAATAGGTTCGACGCCCCTAAGTAAGCACCGCCATGCCAACAAGCGACTCAGCCTTCCTCAAGAAAAAACAGACCCCAGGGAGTAAGAAGCGCAAGAGACCCAAAGCATCGACATCGAACAGGACAATCGGACGAGAATGAAGAAGAATACCCCGAACGGCAAGGAGAAGACAACCATGATGGACCGAAACGACAACACGGGCGTTCCTGTAGCCAACCGTAGCTGCTCTTCGACCAACCGACGGCGACAGATTCGATCGTTTAGGACTCTCAAATCTCTATTCAAACGCATTATCTGAGCTTCTTGTCAATTACTGTTGTTTGTTGTTTCAGGCAGATGTCTATATCAGCAAGTGTGCGACTGCAAGTAAAGGGGCATGCACATAAACCATTTGACATCTGGTCCAGGTTACCTGGTAGTGAAGAGAGGACCCAATTCTTCTCAGTAGTCGAGTTCAATAAGCCAAGAAGTGTCGGGTATGCCGTCTAGTTTATCCAAGACAGCCCAATCCGATGGACACATCCAGAGGCTCTTCTGGGTGAACAATTACAGTAGGAAGGGGACTTCTTGTTCTTGGCCCACGTTGATGAGGGCGGTGAACTTGCTTGACTGATCTGCAATCTTCTAGATTAGGACTGGAAAAGCGCGAAGCTGAAAGTTCTTGGAGTTTCTGGCTATACGCCCAGACGTCCTAGACATGCAGCGGTGTCGCGGTTGTTCTGGTTTTCGAATTCGGTGGCAGCACTGAAACCGATGCCGAGGTTGCGAGGAATGATCATGTCGTAGCGTTCGTCTTTCCAATTATGCCTGGGAGGGGTTTGTTAGATGAGTGTATTTACTGTTGTGTACTTGCTCATTTCCCGGGGTTTCTTGGTAGAACCGTTCTCCAAGGCACCGAGACATTTGTTTTTCATGCAAGTGCTATTATGACCTCACAAGGCCGAGTTTTCTCTGGGTGATCAGGCTAGGCTTTAAGATGGTGCCAGGAAGTATGTTGTATAGGTACTAAGGGGAAGATATGACTTGCGTGATGATGCTAGGCCAAGATGCAGCCGAAGAAGTCTACCAGGAAAATCGAGCGCCTCTCTTCCGGCCTTGACATACGAGCAATTATAGATCCCGAACACAGGAGGTGTGTCAATGACGCTCAGCCCTTGTCGCTACTCTCCCTCGTACACCCTCAAAGCCTCCTTTGGCAACACCACCACAACGGCCCTACGAGGGGTCCTTGCAAAAATTCAAATTCACTTCGGCGAAGCTCGCAATCACTACCTGATACCCTCGGATCAAGTGGACCACCATCGTAGCCAAACTCCCCTGGGCTCCGCCATCGACGATCTACGATGGCCCAAAAAGCCTTCAACCTCAACTCTGATGACTCAGCTGTCTAGAGCCAGTGATATTATGAGAGTAATTAACCAAGTAGAGGAGCATAACGAGAACACGAGGCAGATCGGAGGAGCCTCGCTCATCTTGTTCCAGGGCATGAATGACACACTGCCAGGTGGCTCATTGCGCAACTGCCCCTTCACCCCTAACATCTTGCCCAACCCGCTATTTCCTGAGAGTGCCAACACTATGATGATGATATGTTGGAGGGAAACGAAAGGATATTGTCAGGTTAAGAGATGGAATTGATTTTCACAAAGGCAACTGGAAACACCAAGTCTGACAACCATGTAATTGCCACCAGGAAAGAAAACGCTGATAGATATTGGACTTTCTACATCTTATTATACCAAGTTAACTCTTACTTTAGTATATTGACTTATCTCGCTTGGCTAGTATTATTCTACCTTTGAACCCATGACATAAAGCTTTGCCATTTAGCAATCAGATACGAGAATAAACGTTTAATCTTAAACACTTTTACCCAGTAATTCAGTTTAATAATAATACTTGAATCAAGAGCTTGCCATTATTATGTTTACTTGAAAACCATTAGTAAAGAGTTCGCCAGAGAAAACAATGGGATGTTAGGTAGTCATAAGGAGTTGTCTCGTCGGTTGTGTCAAAGGTCAACCTACTTCGTCAGTATAAGACTGGCCCCTCTTCCGGCAGTGACAACATCAGCCCTCATGCGCAAACCCCACGACGAAACTACGCAGACATCACCAGAATCATCAAGTCACCAGAGTCATCAAGTCATATGTGTATCGGTCTGCCTCCTGCGGCAATAGTTTCTCGTACACCCCCCCTCCCCTCTATCTAAACTCATACATTCTCCCCCCCACTGTCTTCCCCCCACTCCTCCCCAAAACAGATCTCGTCCTCTGGTCTAAAGACCAGCCCCCCTCCCCCGGCCCCCGGAATGTGTCGTCGGCGAGCCTCTTCCTCCCCCCCCCCCCCCCTCACCTCACCTCCCCAGCATCTGGTCTCCGTCGACGGAGGCACTGACAGGGACGGGAACAGAAACCTACTGGTTCTGCTGGACTTGGCGCACCCCCTGCTCCAAGTCCCGAGCTGCCTGGCACAGCTCAGGCTTCTTTGCCTGAGCCGTGTACCTCTTGGTCAGCTCGCCCACCAGCAACGGGAACTGCTGGTCCATGTCCGTGACCCTGTCGAGGGCAGTCTTGCCCTCCGGGTCACGGTACATGACCAAGCAGCGCCACCGTCGCTGATTCCCTGTCAGCTCCTTCACGTCCGCCACCGCCATCTTCTCCGTGTACTCGGCCTTCCTGGCCAGCTTGTCGACCACCAGGTGCAGGAAGGACATGCCCGTTTGGGCCTCGACACACCTCCAGTCTATCTGGAGTAGCTGGCTGGTGAACTTTGGGAGACTTGCTCCCGACTGCTTCAGCGTCCTCCAGATTAGTTTGGCGTCCCCCCCGGTGTATGGACGACCGGACCCCCGAACTCGCAGAAACAAGGGCTTTTTGCCGACGCACATGGCATGCTCGTATGCCCGGTTGATGTCTTGGTCGGAAATTTCCGACCCGTGAAGACCAATGATATCGTACTCGCATTTCTAATGAAGGGACCGATACCACTTCTCAAAGACCTCGGGGACCTCGTCTTGAGCGATGGTGCCACCCAACGCGACCACCTTCTTGCAGAGGGTGGCCATGGCGGGGGCGTCGATGAGTCGAAACGTTATCGACTTCGAGCCTGGGGGCCGGAAGTTGATGTTGGCGCCATGGTTTTGGATCAAGTCCAAAAACATGGTCTGCATTGAGCCATGGTCACTCTCACTGATGACCCTGTTAAGCACCGTGACCAGTGGCGTTGCTCCAGTGCTATCGGGGTTGTTCACATTGGCACCTTTCTGGATGAGGAGGTCGATGATGGACTTGACCTCTCGCCAGACCCTGTACCAATCGTAGCGTACGGCCTCTGTGGCCAGCAGGAGAGGAGTTCGTCTCAGAAGGTCGGACTTGGGCTCGTTCGGGTCCGCTCCTTGGTCAAGCAGACGCTTCACAATCTGGGCAAGCCATCGACGTGTGGGAGCATGAGTTGTCATGTAGACTTCCTCAATGGCAAAGTGGAGAACATTTGCGCCGTCTTCGTTGTATATACCGTTCAACGTGCTGCGAGGAAGGAGAATATCGAAAATGGTTGCTCTTTCATGTTGAATTGCGAGATGGAGAGCTGTCTTTCCTGACTTGGGCATTCGAATATCGAGGCCGCCTGGCCGTATGTTCCCCATTCTAGCCATGATGGTGAGATCGTTTTGTAGCGCAGCAAGGTGGAATATTGTGATTGCCCTATCACTCTCCTCAAGACTTTGCGCCAAAATTGGCGAACAATCTTCTCGAAGAATAAGGAAAGAGACATCCCAGTTCTGGGACACTATGGGAATGAGGGTTGCCTTCCACTCGCAATCCTCAAGAACCTTGTAGAGACCGATGGCCCCGAGAGTTTGGAGTTGCCCCCCTGACAGCAAGGGTGTGAGATTGTGGCACATGGCCTTAGCATCCGCGCCAAGCTCTAGGAGCTTCTTTGCTTGCTCGATATTGTTTCTCATCCCTGCGACGTGGAGGGGATGGGAGTAGCCACCCTCATAGTTGTACCGGATGTTGAAGTATGCGACGCGGTCTTCTGGGCGAACATGGCGTGCTAGCTTGGTGATGGTCCGAACACCGACATCGTCTTGCATCGCGTCCACTGCATAATAGAGTGCCAGAGAGGCCTCGTCCTTAATTTCTCTTGTGTACAAGAAGAATTCAACGTTGCGGTGCAACGTTCGAGAACAGCGGGCCAAGTTGTGAACCTCGGGGTAGTCTAGATGGTCAACTAGAACCCAAAGGGAATCCGGTGAGAGCCGCTCTAGCGGCGATCTCCCTCGCGGATAACTCATGATGCTGGTTGTTGAAATGATGCGTGAGATGTGCTGATAAGATCAGGTGTCTGAGCGATGTCTCGTGGTATATATCGTCGAGAAAATAGAGTGAGTGACGTGCGGAACTTGGGAGCGAAGAACTTGAGTCAGATGAAGGTGTACAGAGAGAACAATGGGACTGATATAGTGGAAAGATGGCAGAGAAGATGCGATCGTGCTCAGTAGCTTTCTATACATCGACTGAAGACAAGCTTTGGGTGGGCAAAGTGGCGCAGGTGTGCGACCAGCAGATGAGGAGCGTAGATTGAGTCGGGTTCAAAAGGAAAATGAAGAGATAAGCTTTCCCGAGGACTTTAGGTAGAGTCTCTCTTGGGTCGGCAGCGACGACAAGTGAAGAGGGTCGGCGTCAACAAAGATGAAGATTGGGGTGCCGTATCTAGAGGACTGCGAGGGGCGTCGGCCAAGTCCGCAGAAACGATGGCTGAAAGTAGGGTCGATCTTCGTGACGTGGATGAGGCTGAGTTGAGGTTCTTGTCGAAAACACTGTGGGAAGGCCGGTCGAATGTGTAGAGAGTAAGGCGTAGAGTGTGGTCGGTACTGTAAGAGAAGGTGCTTCTTGGGTAGATGCTCTCTCAGAAAGGACTGCAAGTAGCCTTCACTGGATCCGTAGAGAAGGTGTCTGGGACGAAGGTTGATGGCAGTGGGGGTGAAAGGTGAGTCTTTGCATAGGTAAGAAAGACCGTTGGCAGAGTCGGTTGGGCCAGTTGAGAGAATTATCCGAAGTATCGTTGGCGACCGTGAAGAAGATGAAGATGAGGTGTAGATCTATTGGCCACGACGACGATGATAGAAGAAGATGTGTAGAGAAGAGGAATGAGAGTGTGGTCGGTATCTCAAGGGCAGATGAGTCTTGCTTAGAGAATCCCGCAGAAAGGGTCTCGGTCGCAGTCTGTTGCGCCTTAGAACAGGATGTCTGGGAGCACAGTCGACGAATGAGAGAAAGGTGAAGGTAGATGAAAGATGCAATCGTCACGACGAGGTCCGTAGACGAGGTCGGCGAGGCCCACAGAGAAGAAGACTTGTACCCTGATCGACGTTGGTAAAGAAGATGAAGAATGGGAATAGATTGTTGTGAAGAGCGCTGCAGGGAGAGTCCAGTAGGGTTCGTGGACCACGCAGATATGTGTGAAGGATGTTTCTCGAAGACGAAGAAGAGAGAAACAAGAGGAGTATATAGTAGAGTGAGAGTGCTTCCTTGTTTATATGTGTGTGTGTAGGAGCGACTCTGCACAGAGAGGGTGGTGATGATGACTGAGGGAGGAGAAAAACAAAGCGGAGAGGAGTGGGAGAGGAAATGCGTGGGGGTAAATAAAGGCTGCACGAGAGAGGAGTTGCTGCCTGGCCTGTCCTCGTTGCCTCAGTAGCGCAAACGGACGAGCACTGCGAGGAACAGCCAAACAGTTTTACCAGCTTCAGGGCATCCGGGTGCTAGAGCATGCCCTGAGTGCCCCCCTCGCGCACTGTTAGTGATATCAGACTAATTATGATTCGGTATAACCATCTAGGAATGAGGTCATTACTTGAAGAAGCCCGTAGAAGAATGTTTCTCGAGTATTATCTACGTGATGCTGGTGCCCCTGAATGTCCCATTCCCATCGAGTGTGCTGCAAGTGCGTCCTCTGCCTCATTACGACGCCGTAAACAGTCCCCATTTACCATAGCAAAAGACATTATATACTCTCTCAAGGCTATGGAACTAGTGCGAAGAAGCTGATCCCCTCTTGAGGCGTACCGGAGATGCGAAATCATAGAAAATGAGTTGAACGAAGACGCCCGCCAAGGCCGCTGCTTCTTGCGCAACACTGAGACACCCTACAATCTACCAAAAATAGTTCCATGCATTCTTTTCATTCTTCTTTTTCATAGAAGGGTAATGGATGGCTTTCCCGGGCGCGTGGTAGCGTGGGATGAGGGTGAGGCCTTGCGGCTGACCCGACACTCCCTCGCCGGGCGCGCTCGCGAACCGATTTTGACTATCCAGCAATTCTCAAAGGATTCAAGACATGAGTACAACACACCGAGTCTTCCATCGTTGGCTAGAACCCGGGGAGGGCGCGTAGACGAGGCTGGATGCGCTCACTGGGCTAACCCGTTCACCCCTGAAAGCCGTTCCACCACTCTCAGAGAAATGAAGAACTAGGCATCATTTGTTGACCCTTCCACTGTAAAATGATGGGATTTGGGAGTCTTTGAACTCTTTCTGGTCTGCTGAAGCGAAGACGCGATGGTTCGACGCTGTTCGGTCGCGGTTTCTCGGCCGGGGATCATGGGTTACGGTCGGAATCTTGCTTCGTGTCGGCGATCGGAGTTTCGAGAGGGGGAATAGAGGAAGAAGAGACACCTAGAGAGAGAGACAATCGTCAGCACAAGCCGTCGTGAGCTTCTGGCACCCAGAGACGGAGGAGATCTTCCTTCGTCGCACGGCTTTCTACCTCGTTGTCGCTAGCTCGAGAGCCTCGATACCAGAAAAGCAACTACTTGGAAGAAAAGACTCGAGCTCGAGTCTAGGATAGGTGACTAGTCCCAGTGATTCAAATGCGTCCGGGAGTGTCGAAAGGGATGAATGGTGTCGCAGTAAGGTGCCCTAAGGGACGAGAGGAACGGATGAAACAAGGGACACCCTCGTCTTGAAGGAAAAGGCACAAGGCGAAGACGACATTGGTGACACCAAAGAAAATAAATAGAGAGAAGCCGGCGATGGTGGTTAGTCGTGGTGCGCTCAGTTGACGGAGAAGAAACCAAGATGGCCCAGCTCAGCCTAGGGTCTTGGGTGGGACACTGGCGAGGGACTAGGACAGTGGAGGAGGGGTTCGTTTGCCTGTCGCGGTACTTTACTACCTGGAAGCAGAGCCAGTATGGACATGAGTTTGGTAAAGCGACTCAGCCAGCCAAAGGTTCCAGAGGTCTACAGTTTTTACACACAGTTTTTACGCATCTCTACATTACACAGCGATTTCAATTCAATGGAGGTCAAAATAAGGACAGCCCCTGGTCCCTGGATCTGACGCCGTTGCATTTTGTGTTCAGATCCATCCCCACTTGGCGGGATCGTATCGAACCCTGTTTCGCAGATCTCGGCCCAGGGAACCTTGGAATGACTTGGATGGTGCCGTTGTCTTACGGCAAGCTGTGTTGTACCATCTGTGTACATTGCACAAACTGATCGGAAGGCTGCATGAACCGTTCCTTCCATTCGAGTTCCTCAACTGTAGGTTCCCGACGTGTGGGCCGGCTTTGGTGCTGTCTGTGTGACACCAAGCTTGGATCTCCTTTCTGGAATCTAAACAGTTCAGTTGTATGAGATAATGTAGCGTAGATGACGATCTATTGCTCAGGCCCATACACATTGATTCTCTTGATCCCCTCCACTCTGGGGGCGACACTCAGCAGGCCTGTGATGTCCCCCAGCGACTGTCAACGGCTGTGAGCTGAAGCGAGACCCGATTTTTTACCAATGGATGGCATACGTTTTTGCACCCTGGCCGGCCCTGAAGGCACCCCTGCTGGCACAGACCCTAGAGCATTTGGCGAGCTTCAGTGTAATACCCTACCTGATGTTTTCTAGTTGCTCCTCCCACGGAAAGCAGCCTGCTCACTGGCTAGTCGAGTGGTGTGAATCTCCGATTCTTCCTCGGGAGAAACCTCAGCATAGTTCCACCGAAGAGAGAAGCATAATCTTGCTGTTCAAATGGTTGGCCGAGCTCGAGTAATCTTTTGCGATCCGCGAAGGGAATTTGCAGCAGTGACAGTGTCGTTGGCGGTACGCTGGGGAGAACAAGACATCCAGGATTCGCCGCACGGGGGCCAACAACAAAAAATACCATAGTCAAATAATAAAGGATCCATAAATTTGCTACGATTGTCCATCTACCATTCCTTGGTATCTCACTGTTGTTTCGCTGTTCAGTTCAAGTGATGGTAGCCGTGGTCAAGGTCGTGTTCAGGCGGACAGCCCCTAAATCCCCCAGCGCAAAATCGCCAGTGGGTTCCAGGTTGGGCTAGTTCCTCCCCCCCCAAACACCCACGAACTTCATCTTTCATCTTCAAATGATCCAGAGAAACCATCGCATCACAAAATCAAGACTCTATCGATCCCGAAGTAATCAAGATATTCATCAAAAGCTCGAAATCTTTCGAATCTACCGAATCCCCGGCCCAACACCCAGTCTTCGGACCTTGGTCTGCGTTTGGCGATGCCCTCACGACTCCTAGAGGCGTCAGAGCGATTAGATCCCCCCAAAACCATCAGAAGAGAAGCAAAATATGATAATCGTACCCGTACGTACTCATGCTCAGGCCGATCGACGGAGAGAAGCGGTCCAGAGACCACTACCAGTGCCTCCATCCACGAACACCGAACCGACGGAACCACGAGGGCCTCGACAACACCAAGAAGCGTACCTGTTTCTCCGAAAGCGCTCAAGATAGACCATCTGGTTTCTCAAGACTCATACACCCGAGTGGCAGACGGATAGCGTGAAGCTACCATTGGTTGCGGCTGTCTGTGATCCTCACCACAGCCCAATCTGATTTCAACCTGTTTAGCCGACCCAATAGGTTGAATTAAGAACCAAACAGTCATCCGCTGACCTCACGGGCCTTCTATTCCAGCACATCGCCTTAGGAGATAGCTGCTGGAGTATACGCTTCACCTGAGAGCTATGGCTCAAGCACGTCACAAGTCCCCCACGGCGATGGGGAAGGATACTCAACCTAACTCTAAAGACAACGGTTACTCTAGGATTAGAGAAAGCCTAGTGCCATTCTATCAAACCATCGAGAAGTCTGCTGGTAGTTTGTAGTCTTAGGGCTGTAGACAGACTCCAACGGAGACAGCCAGACAAGGTTTACTACTTCATGATTACTGAGTCGAGATGTCTAACCTATCCAAGAGAAACAGTGCGAGCCCGACCGACTTTCAACTCTGATAAGGAAGATCGTCACTGGGAACCTCTATTGCTATGAGGGTGGCTGCTAACTCTTCAAAGAGTGTTCAATACCTGTTGAACAAAAGGTCTGACTGACAAACTGCCACTTTTCATCAGCTGAGGTGCTAGTATGATAGATACGTCTTTGTTAACTTGATCAATGGCTGTAACTTGTTAGAGCTACAAAGTTTTACAACTGCGCAGAGTCGCGGCGAACGCTGTAAGTACCACATCCATGCAGGTCCTTCAGGTTGCAGAAATATTTATCAATACGAAAGAATTAGGTTGGTGACTTTATATATCACCTCCTCGAAAACGCGGAGCGCGACAGAATCCAAATCCTAGGGCCTGTCTGGCAACTACATCGACTCCTTTCCGGTCGCCTTTGTCGAACAAGAATTCAATACCGAACGACGATGCCTTTTCAACCATCGAACCCAGAGAAGATACAAGATCGTTAATCTATTGAGCCAATAAGTGGAAGAAAACATGTTTGACTTGGTGTATACGAGGTGCTGGCGACCTTGATGTGATTGAAACCATCTAGCCAGAGTCAAGGCAGCACGAATACATGCTGCACATGGAAGATATCATGCCACGATACGAAATTATATGCAGAATTGCTCTAGGCACTTACCTATCGACAGGCTCTGTCCATAGTCTGCTTCCGGTAAGTTGCCCCTGTTCAAACCTCATCACCCCTTGGGAGAAGCATCAAGATCCAGGCCAGCCCCCCAAAGTGGATCATGTTTCTAATACAAGAGATAGACTCCATATGCTGCACACAGAGCCAAAAGATGGTCGAAGTGACAAACCAATATCCAATGGCCTTGCTTGGATGGGGAACAGATGGTTCGTCAGTACAGTCACCTTCCCAACGATGGAGCATTTATTTCAAGACAGACCGAAGTAGGGTTGGGCAGTGAAAAATATGGGATAAATGCTCGATACTGGTCATCTGTGTTTACCCCTAGCTCTGGTACCTGAAGAAGTTGATAATGATGCTGACAGTTGTCTCAAACAGATCCTATTCCTATCGTACTGTTCGACTACGGAAACAAATCGAGACTCTTGGAAATAACCTACCGATCTCACAGCGAACTGATACTGAAGAAGCTGTCTGATCGTTAAGACCTTTCGCTCTCCTTCGATCCCCGGGCCAGTGTTGCTGACGGAACTATCGGGTTAAGGGGCGCAACCGGAGTCTTGGATCATAACAAGATGCCGGATAGTCCAAAAGAATATCTACAAGCACTAAGACTACTTACACCGAAGAAGGCTGGAAAGTTGAAGGTGGATTCAAGAGATCGGTGGGCTCGTACTGTAAGTCCTAGATCTCTCCTGACCTACTGATGCAAGTGGCAGCATCTGATAAGGTTTGCTGAAGACTCCCATCGCAATGGCGGGTTTGCGACTCTATGAGAACTGTTGATTCTGTTGCTTTTTGGTGGTTCAGAATTCTAACTTTGATAAAACATTGTGGTTGGTCGATCTCAACTCTGTTGTGACGTCGGTGCCATAACACAACATCGTCATCATTGAATTGTCGTCCTTTGCCACCTTCATTCTACACCGTCGCAGATGGGAAACCGCCAATATTTGGTCCAGGTACCATCGAAAAGCCATACCGAAATCCCATGTTCTATGCAAGCTAATTCCTCGCCCCTATTAGAGCAGCTTGTCGTTTCTCGCCGCGCCGCCTTGAACATCGACTTCGACTTCGAATCGCGCCCAGCAATGAGAAGTATTCCGGGTTTACACAAATCCGGCATACAATTGAATGAATTGGAGTATCAGCCGTAACCTCCCGTCATGTCACGCGCCACAGGATGGCAGTTGATGGTGTCGTGACACTGTGCGTTGCAACCGTTATAAGTACGAATTGCCTCCAAGAAACCCTTTGCCGCAAAGAAGATGCTGACCAAATACTTGAGACCTTTAATTAAATCGAGTCTGATCCCTCGAAACAAGCCAGCAAGGATGACTTCGTCCGCGATCGAGCTCCTCCAAGCCCACGTTACGCCTTTCAACTCTATTACCGAAGATCGCGATACGATAACAAGATGCTTTGATAGCTTCGGTGACTGTAAAGTCTTACTCATTGGCGACGCTTCCCATGGCACCTCCGAATTCTATTCCGTCCGTGCCGAGATTACAAAGCATATGATCGAGCACCATGGCTTTAACATCGTGGCTGTCGAAGCCGACTGGCCTGATGCCGAACATGTAGATCGATATGTCAGGCGTCGGCCAGGACCAGGACAAGGCACAGCAGAGACGGTTCAGATGGCAAAGAAGGAGGGAAGAGAACCAGCTTTCTTACGCTTCCCCACGTGGATGTGGCGCAACATGGAAGTCCATGACTTTGTGGAATGGCTACGGGATTACAACTATGGACGGGAGGAAGGTGACGCCACTGGGTTTTATGGTCTGGACTTATACTCCATGGGAACATCCATGAAGGCGGTCATCGACTACCTTGATACTGTCGACAAGGAAATGGCAGAGCTGGCACGAGAACGATATGGTAAATTGATGAGCTGGGGCGACGATCCACACGAGTACGGACTTGAGGTCTTGACGACCGCTTTTAAGGGGTACGAGAAGGAAGTTGTTGATATGCTTAAAGACCTCTTGAGTAGGCGGATTGAGTACTCTGCCTGCACCCGTGACGGTACCGAGTTTCACAGTGGCGAGCAGAATGCAAGAGTTGTCAAGGGTAGGGCACAGAAGAGAGATGGGTTCACAACTGTGCTGACTGGCTATAGATGCTGAACACTATTACCGGGCCATGTACCACGGTCGTGACGAATCGTGGAATCTCCGAGACACGCACATGTTCCAGACTCTCGTACGAATCCTCAAACATCGCGGCGACAAGGCCAAGGCCATTGTCTGGGCACATAACAGTCACATCGGCGATGCTCGCGCAACCAGCATGGGCTGGTCCCGAGAAGAGCTCAACATCGGTCAGCTCTGCAAGGAGACGTACGGAAACAGAGCACTCAACATTGGGACCGGTACTAATACCGGCACTGTGGCTGCTGCGAAGCGCTGGGATGGGGACATGCAGGTCATGCGAGTTCGACCAGGGCTTTCGAGTAGCTACGAAGAACTGATGCACGCGACGGGCATTCAGAATTTTGTGCTGGACCTGCGTGCAAAGAAGTGTGATGAGCGGCTTCGGAAAACTCTCTGTGAGCGTCGTCTGGAGAGGTTCATCGGGGTGTTGTACAAGCCTGCTACGGAAAAGCAGTCGCATTACTCGACCGCGGTCTTGCCGGAACAGTTTGATGGATTTATCTGGTTTGACCAGTCGAAGCATGTTGCGACTTTGGAGGTTCATCAGCCAAAGTCGCCTCTTGAGTATCACGAAACCTGGCCGTTTGGGTTGTAACTACACAACTGTTATCTAGCTCAGATTGACAAGTTACGGCAGTTCTGCCTCTATTTAACGAATAGCGATTATGATGTTGTTCGAGTTTTACAATTTGTGATTGGCAATGCACCATGATAGTTTGGCAAAAAACCGGCAAAACGGCCAAGGTTATGATCATCACAGTGTACTCTCGAGGGTCAAAATATCACCAACATGGCATCACACACAAAAGGCGTTCGACCAGCAACCTCAGTTTGGGCCTTGAGAATTGCTCGTTAAGACATCATCACATAGCTTTGGTTAGCCTCGTCCTACCTTTGTGGTCTGCTGTCAGAAGCCAAGCCCAAGATGGGCCGGCCACAAGTCGACGGCAAACTTCTGTGGTCTTCTCATATTGTGTCAGAAAAAAGAATTGGTTTGAAAAAAAGAAAGCACCAAGGATTCTCACCATTTGCTGTATGGAGAAGCCGGATTTGGACGGAAAACGTTCGTTTCGTATTCGAAGCTGCTACTCAGTTCCAACCGCAGCAAACATTAGTACCTCAAAAGTAAAAAAGCCATACCCACGCCTGACACCCTCTATCACAGAGAAAATCCAAATAACCTCCTTCCTGGTATCTAGTAGCGGTGTCGGGTGGAGTAGTCCTTGGGGCTAACGACGAGACCGCGTCCCTTCTTGGCTCCTCGGTAAACAGTCTCAAAGATGTCGATGAGCTCCTGCTTGTCCTCCAGCACCCACTTGATCTTGTTGTTGTCACCGGTACCCAGATCGATCATCATGTGCTTGTTGCGGAAGAAGAACATGAGCGAGCATGGGTCGTACAGCTCGTACATCTGGTTAAAGTCGGGCACCTGGTCGATGTCGCAGAGATAGATGGCGGCAAAGTTTCGGACCTTGTCGGCGATCTTGTAGAGGACTTCGTCCTGGCGCATGCAGTCTGGGTCCCAGTCTCTGCCGAAGCGGATAACGACGAGGCGATCCTCCTCTGGCGCAAAAGTTAGCTCGAGTTTACGGGGAGTGAGGAAAGGGTTGGCTTACCTGAGAGGATCGCCTGGTCGACGTGCCAGCCAGTGTTGAGATGGGGAAGAACGACGGAACCCATGATGAATGTGGTAACTGATTTGGTTGGTGTTGATGGTTGGGTCGCGAAGATGATGGAAGGTTGGTGGATTGCCTTCCATGTTGGTGGAGCAAAGATGGCGGGAGAGATAAGATAGAGGGGCACGGCTAAATACCGGATCCGAGGCTAGCCGTTTTTGGCTCAAGGTGAGTGGGGGCTTTCACCGCACACCGAGCCGATTATCACGAGTCTCAATGTGCCTGGAGTCAAGTCTGTAAAAATGGTGTTTATTAAACCCCGTCTAAATTCTATATACACAGCTGATTTAAGTATTGAGTATTGATAGCTCAAATGATGAGGTAGTTTGCTTTTCCAGGTTCGGCTATGTCTTTGACGTTGCGCTAGATACCTTCCTTCACTACTATGTAGCATCCGCCTCACACGTAAATGCCCTCAGATATTAGGGACCCCCAATCAATGTCTCACAAGAGCAGCAAGAGTACCCAAATTCGGCTACTGGCAAAGGCGGACTTCTTAGTGCGAACCTTGCAGGCTCATTGTAGAAGGATAACGACACATCTAAAGCTTGACAAAGTTACGAGACGATTCGGATCAAACAATTGAATAAGCATTACTATACCAAGCCATACTCTAAGAAGACTCATCAAACTCATCAATAACACTCTTGGGCTCCGTATACTTGCCCAGAGGCTCAAATTCGAGATGATCAAAGCCGAAACCTTTGGGTCCTCCAATCTCGATACCTCGTTCCGAACCGGTCCATCGGTCACTCGCTGCAATACCAAGCACGACAACGAGCAATCCATATCGGTACTCGGGTGTGCCGACTGCCTCTCCACTCTGTGCGTCGATCAGACACACCAAGTCAGGGACTATGGCAAGCACATCCTCCTGTCTTTCCTCCTTCCGGTCAGGGTGGACTTTGATAGCGGCGATATTTTCGTTCTTGAAGGGGATCTTGACAATACCCTTGAATTGCGCCGAGGGTTGGTCTCCAGTCGTGCCATTGTCAGTATCCCTGACATCTGCACCCTCGATGAGACACTCGCCATAGACATGACCGTTTCTTAGCGTCCTGTCAACGCCAACAATCTTGCCCTTCCATAGAACCTTTCCAGCTCCTGGCCCTCCACACTCATCGATAATCGTCTCGGCAACATTGTCCACCCTGTTCTCCTTGCGTGCTCGTGCAACTGCTCGTCCAATCCTCCACGCTTGGGACAGTGTATGCTTGACAACCCAGCGTTTCGTCTCTGCGCCCGTGACGGGTGCGTCTGCACCTCCTACCTGGGAGCCCATCTCGCTCAAAGCAGCTCGCAGAATACGCTCAACAGCGGCATCAGAGGACGCCTTGGGCATGACGATCACATTGCCGTTGCCGTCACTGAGTGCGATTGGAGACCAAATAGTCTCCCTCTCCTTGAAGACGACCGGGGTTGTCTGCCATTTCGTCGGGTATGCTCTACCCATCCAATCGCCGTCCACGGTCGGAACGTTCATTTGTGAACTAGATCCCAACAACAGCCCAGAGAGGCCATTTGCACCTCCAATTTCGACGGAAATCATGTGAGTGGCTGATTTCTCGCAGATCTTGTACAACTCATGTTGCGCCTCAAGGAGCTCGTCGCCTGCCAGCTTCTCAATAGCCACAGTAGGACTACCTGCTCCGCCACCACAGCCAACCTGGGCATCATCGGGGAGGTCTTCCGGGTTCATCACACGGACCGTATTTCCGTTTCGTAGCAGAGTTCGGAGTCGAATCATCAGGCTGTAAGGATTTCCGCCACCTCCTGTTCCAAGTATGTAGGCACCTGTTGAGATCCATTCCACGTCACGCTCTGAAACGTTCCAGATGCGATTCTTGACTTGTGGGCGATAGGCGAGGATATCAAAGTCGTCTTCAGCTTGCGTATCTCGTTGAGAGTCCTTGTCCTTTGCTGTCTTCTCATAATGATCCATATCCAGGGGTTCATCTGACTCGTCCTGCGACTCAGACTCGATATCCTCTCTGGAGAAGTCGAAGTCTCCAGTAGCTCGAACAACAAAACGGGTTTTATTGGCAATGTACTTTCAAGACGTTAACGGGTGGCAGAAGCCTCTGGGCAACACTACTTACCTGGAGCGGCAGCGTCTCCTGCTCAACAATACTGACAGTCGAACGTAGCCCGCCGGCTGCGACGGTCTTCTCAATAGCCTCTTGGCTGACTTCTTCGAGAAGCTCGGCAGTCGGCTTCGACGCAGTAGATTTGACAGTATCCACTACTGCACTCACCCTCGCGATGGCGGCGCCGATTGCATTGGCAACCTGTGACCACTTGGGCTTCAGCACCTTGCTTGCTCCCTTGAGTTCATCAGGGGCAATGACAGCTCCACCGCCAACGAGAATGACGGGTATATCTTGGGGTGATGTCTTCATGGTGTCAATAATCTTTTCCAGCTTGTGCTGAATCACCAAGGTGACCTTGGAGAGTTGATCGTCCGAGAGTGCGCCTTGAACCAGAGCTGAATCCCCGATCTTCAAGCTGGGGTTTGCGAGGACAGCGCAATCAGTCGAGGTCAGTACCTTTCCACCAAAGACGACAGCTTCCTGGGTTAGTTTATATCCCACGCTATCAGGTCCAACTGACACGCCGCTGTCTTTTCGTACAATGGAGCCTCCACCAAGGCCAATGCTCTTGATGTCTGGGCAGGAAAAGTTCATTCTTACACCCGAAAGATCATTGTAAGCTGCCTGTTGGCGAGGGAAGCCATTTTCCAACAACAAGCCTACGTCAGTTGTGGTTCCTCCTATGTCGACCACCATCATTGCTTCATTCAGCTCTCCTTGCACCAAAAAGGCAGCACCTCTCATACTGTTGGTTGGGCCACTTGAGAAGGTTCGGATAGGTAATCGCGCGGCGAGATCACCAGAAAGAACAGTACCGTCATTCTGGCTGATAAAGATAGGACACTTCATGCCAAGCCGCCTAATAGGTTGGTGGAAAGATCGAATGGTTTTGCGAGCGAAGGGGAGGATAGAAGCGTTCAGAATAGCGGCGTTCTCTCGTTCAAGAAAGCCAAGGTTGGCAACCTCTTTGGAACACACGACGTCGATATCAGGGATCTGGGCCTTAATAATCTCCGCGGCTCTCTCTTCTTGCTTTTCCACTGTGTCGATGGGGCTGAAAATGCCGATCACAACCACACTCTTGATACCCTTTTGTTGGATGATGGCACATTGCTCCTTGATCTCCTCTTGGTCGATGTCAGAGATCAAGTGTCCGTCAACTTCCAATCCACCCTTGAGAAGAGCGTGATGACCCAGAATGAGGTCTCGCATATCGGCAGGCCAGTCCACACAAGGCAGGGTGTGCTTTGAGAAAGGTCCGCAAAGACGAAGAACAGCAACTCGAGATAGTCTTGCTGCATCTCTCTCTATCACGGCGTTGACGAAATGGGTGGTGCCGATAGTCACACTTGCAATGTCACCAGGGCTGATGGCAGCCGATGAGAGCATGCTGGCGATGGCATTGTCGATGCCAACACTAGGGTTGGTCGTTGTTGGTTCCTTGTGCCATGCTACAACTCCTCTATCAGTAGCAGAGGTCTGGAAAGGGTCGATGATAGCGCCGTCGGTGTTTGTTCCTCCGACATCGATGCCAATCCGTAGGCGTCGTGGTGCTGTGCCTGTAGCCATGGTGAAAGACTAGGCGTTGAAGGACGAGATACTGACTGACGTCAAGGGTTCAACTCGAGTGTTGTAAAGAAGAGGAGTTCGTCTGGATGTGAGCCTAATCAGGTAGAATATGTACCTGATAGGTGAATGGATGGTACCCAATGCCGGCGTCCAGGATGTATTCCTTCAAAATGGCTCGGTCTCCGTCGGGTGGGCAAGCGTCGCCTCCAGCTGTGGGGTCTTGACATGATGGAAATGGGCTTTCGTTTGCGCATGTGCGTAGGGATGCCAAGACTCGAGTTCCTTGAGAGATTATCAATTGTGGAGAGCGAGCGGTTGATGTCTTGGTTAGGATGCATATTTGGATAGAAAGTAGAAGGTCAGATTCAAATATTGGGAGATTTCTTCAAAAATCAGGTCAATTCCAAGTAATCGAAACTGCAGCCAACGCCGCGGCTTATCAATCTGTATACCTAGGCGGTTTCCATGTGAGAAGGAGTGGGCGAGCAGACACCATCACAGGGAACGGTGAGCGAGTCACGTGATTCTAACTGGATGTCGAGCAGCCAACCCTAGAGTTTCGAAGATTCTTCAGCTTGATAAGTGCCCTATCCCAGACAAGATTTCTAAGGCTAATTAGTGAAATATTAGATATGAATCATGTTATGGTATGGAGCCGTATGCATGGATGGCGAGAAATTAGTGGAAATTGGGGCAGAACCTCGCCATGCTGCCTACCTAGGTTGGATACATCCTGACCGACTTACAAAGTGATCCTTCAAGTTCTGTTTATTTTCTCAAGGTCTCAGCAGGAATTTTCCTGTCCATAAAAACCAGTCCTTCTGTGTAGAAGCCTTCAGACCATCTTAGTACTTGAGTGATTTAATATTGTCTGGCATGATTACACTTCAATCAGGGCAACAACACATAAACTCGCGAAGGAGGGGATCACAAGGTTAATGCAGGCATCTTAAATGAAGTACTTTACGAGCTTTGCGCATTTGGACAGGTCTAAGATAATAAACTCGACCGGGTTCATGTTTGCATTGCTGACTGCCCAAGATGGCATGTATTTTCGGTATAAACCCCATCTCCTTGCCCTCAAAACGCTTTCGCTCAACAATATGAGATACTCATCGATGCTCTGGTATACAGACTGAGAAAATGGTCTTTCCAAGAAGCTAGCTAGCAAGAAAGCATAGGTGTGATGAGAACTCATTCCGTTAGTGACCGATTTAGGAGGGGCTCTGCTAAACACTAAGCGGTAGTGAAGAGAGACAATAGCAAGCGTATCCAGAAGAATCACGTTGTCGTTGCCATCATGTTGAAATGAAGTTCCTTCGGTGCTGACGTTACTGGCTCGGGGGGGGGGTATTCCCTTAGGAGGATGCCTTTTTTTCGCCCCCTGCGCTCTTCTTCATGGTTTCGGATTCTTCGTTGGCCTTACCCCTTGGGTTACTCAACTGCTCCCTCTTCTTCTTCCTCCTTTGGGCGATTATACTGCGCTCCATGTTTTTGGCCATCTTACTCGGCGTGACAGCTGTAGGCTCTTCTGCATCTTTCGCTTTCTCGTTCCCCTTCTTTCTTGCCTCGTTCTTATTGCGCCGAACATATCTGGCAGCATCACCCGCACTGAGGACGGATGTGAGTTTCTTTGGCGTGATAACCAGGGCCATTTCGGCCTCTTCAACAACGCCGCTGTATTCATCAGTAGAATAACCCTCTTCCTCTTCCCCCGAAAGGTTGTCCTCCACAGACTTGTCCTTGCCCGAGGGCTGCTTGTCGTCAGCACACATCTTGTCTGCCAAAGATCGAGGGTATCACTGAGTGCTTTGTTAAAGGAGAAGGGGTATCGTGATGAAGCCAAGGTCTCACTGAGACGTTTTCCGATGAAGTCTGTAGTGTGAAGGAAAGGTTTCGGGATGTTTAGAGTTGATCGGAGTAGCTAAATACCCTCTCTCAAACAGATTCTCGCGAAGACAGACGTTGAGAATGGGAACCACTCCGTTGCAGGTTAGAAGACAGCAATAGCAATTGAATAAACTATTCAAACAATGGTAATTAACCTTATTTAATGTTTTTATTATGCCGACAATGCCTCTTTTTGGTATCTGTACATGGGCAACAAGGCACATAGTTTCGTTCGCTATGGATGGTCAATGGCGAACACAACGCAGCCCTATACTGCTGAACACATCTCGGTTGCTTATGTGTTTGAAGAAGAATAAAAAGAAACAATGGATGGAAACAAAAGGAAGGTTCATTGGACTTTATTTTGATCGGTGACTGTTGAATTTTGGACTGGTTGACTCTGCGTTACATAGGTATGTCGGTAAGGAAATTTCGAAGAAAACACCAACTCTCGTCATGGCTTTGTTCGATGTAAAATATCATAACTATAGAATAAGGAGTTCATTGAATAGACGATCATTGTTGCGGATCCTAAAATAGCTCCATATACACAATGCTTCAACAAGCAACCATCCATGCAATTCTCCACTGTGACCTAGCTTGCAGCTGATGGGTTAAATTAGGCTGTTGGGCGTTAGCTGGGGCGTATTGAAGCCGCATGATGTGCAGACTATAAGTAAGTGCTTATGCATACGATGTTTTTCGCAAAAACATCCCGCTTCTTGTACATCGCAAAGCGAGTATGGATGGCTCCGAAACTCCCCTGTATCGGCCACTGGGCGACGACGAAATACGCCTCATCACTATACACCCTCATCTAGAAAATGACCTGGTCAGCTGCTCTCTCGACACTTTTTCCCTCACAGAAACGAATGCCGTCTTCAAGCAATTTCTTCACAACTACGACTCTCCAAACAAGCCCAGACGGGGGCTGATCGCAACATGGCGGTCAATCCAACGGGCCAAGGGCACCCGCCACCCTCCAGATCACCGCTCAATGAAGTCCTTCACGCCTTTGGATACTCACTGTTTCCGATACACCTGGGGAGACTTTGCTGCCATGTCGTACACTTGGGGTACAGATGAGGCGGGGAAGATCATTGTCAACGGTCAGGAAATGACGGTGACCAAGAACCTCGAGGATGCGCTGCGAGAGCTGGGTAGCGATGGTGGCCGTTTCGCCAGAAGATACAAGCTGTGGGTTGATGCGATATGCATCAATCAATCTGATGTGGAAGAGACAAGCGAGCAAGTGGCTCGCATGAGAGAAATCTACAGCGAGGCATGGGCGGTAGTGGCCTGGCTAGGGCCGGCTGGAGACGAGAGCAACCAAGGAATGCGTCTCCTCTCTGCTCTCTCTCGCCTGGATGACAAGGAAAAGGACGATTTGACTGCTCTTCTCGAGGAAAATCCTGCCATGTTTGGAGAATTTGCCTTTTATGGCCTTCACAGCCTCATGAAAAGGAGATACTGGTGGCGGCTCTGGATCATTCAAGAGCTCGTTATGGGATCAAAGTCGACCATCTTACGGTGTGGAGGAGACACCCTTGACTGGGAAACCTTTAGCCGCGGAATCTCATCTCTGTATCATGGAGGTCTATGGTCTGCCAAGGACTGGCTCTTGAAGGGCGAGATGAAGAAGAAACTGGCCAAAGATGACCCGCGCTGGGTGACAGCCAGTATCCATCTTGTCCACCAAAACATACGGCCTCTGAGCGAGTTCGAGTTCCAAGGAGGAGAGAGGCAGGGCATGAGGAAGTTGCTTGAACTCGCCATGTCAGACAGCCGCGAGGAAAAGGACAAGGTCTTTGGCCTGCTTGGAATGATGGAGCCCAAAATTGCAAAGCGTATCATTTGCAAGTACTCCAAGTCAACGGCCGAGATCTTTAGTGCCACTTCGATTGCTTTCATAGAGCATTACGGCAATCTTGAGCCGCTCAGAGAAGCGAACCCATGGGGAGAGGCCGAGACTCCATCCTGGGTAATCGACTGGACTTGGAACGGGAGACTGCGTTACTCGAAGCCTGAGAGTGTCTTTATCGGGGCTTTCTGGACTCCAGGAACTCCGGAACCACGACCCGAGACCATGTACTGCGCAGCTGGCCATCGAGAAACACTGTGCTCTGTGTTCTCCAACGGGAAGCTATTGAAGTGCAAGGGGGTTATAATAGACAAAATCTGCGGTTTGGGGGCGTGCGAACGAGGCTACTTTGACTGGGATCCGTCGTCCATAGTCCAACCGACAGAATGGCAGAGCGTATACGAGGATACGGCCTGGGCTCTCTGCAGAGCGATGCTACTTGGGCGGGTATCAAACGGAGAGCACGTTAGCAAACGCCACTGCGCTCTCCTCAGTCTTCCAAGAACATACGAGGCAGCATTCAAGCAGTTTGAGGCGTTGGGATGGACCTGGATGAAGGAGCAGGAAGCCTACTACTTCCGCTGGGTGAGGTGGCACCAGGCACACGACGAAATCAGCATGGCCGGCAAACCCCTCGGAGATTATTTCACAGAAAAGATCCCGTGCAACGCGTCAGAATTTGATTACGCAGAGGTTTTCCTGGCGGCTGACCGGACGGGTATGGGAAGACGGCTCATGTTCACTAGCCGGGGGTACATTGGATGGGCGCCTGACAACCCGTACGGGTCGTTGCAGGACCAGATTTGCGTTGGCGACATGGTTTGCGTTGCCTATGGTTGTAGCACGCCGTTGATAATAAGACGCGTGGAGGATAAGTATCACGTCCTTGGAGAGGCATACATTGAGGGCTTGATGGATGGGGAGGTGATTGACCTGGTGGAGAAAGGGGAGCTTTTCGAAGAAGAGCTTATCTTTAGCTGATACTGCTCCGATACCCAACCCTATAGATGAAACAAGGAGGGAAGTAGCATAGGCGATTCGTGAAACCGAAGCATAGAGAACGTCGTGGAACAAAGGCCACTCAATGTCAAAGTCGCCTTGATTCTCCATCTTGAAACCAGTTGTCCATCGGAAGGCGGGTGAGGCGGGTTGAAACTGCTGACTCAGCCGCCACGCACGGTAGCTTCCCGTCCACAATCCCAGCTGCGCATCGCAGGCGCCGCAGCTCCAGCTCCGTCATCACCCAAGCCCGCCTGCGTACGCTACTCTTACTTACATTGCCACCATTCTTGCGTCGTCACCTTCTCCAGGCATCGATATTTCTCACTGGCGAGCTTCTTTATTTTTCTTCGACGACTGACTTCTCCTTCGCCTTGCCCCGTTCCCCGAAATTATGGTCAAATAAGCGCCCTGCTTGCGATAGGTCTGCTGGGTTCGATCGTTCAAGAGCTTCGCCTGCTCGAAGCGCACCCGACCCTTCTTCACCAGATCAGCCCAAACAGACCAGGTGCTTAACAATCCAACTCTCTGCATCTCATACCGACCCCCGGCGTTTTCATCAGCTTCGTAGCTACGCCACATAAGAATACAACCCATCAACAGCACTTGGCGGTCCAACAAGTTCACCCCGCAATAGCTCCATTCAAACGACGCCCTTCTCAACATACGATCCGAACCAACTCACCCCGACATCCTCTTTGTCTGCGGACTCGGAGGTCGAAATAATAGACCGGGCACAATATTTCGACACTTTTCTCTACATTACCCACCATGGCGATAGATTATGACATCAATCCCCAGCGCGATCTTGACGACGGAACGTACGCTGCTTTGCCCGGTACAACTCCCGGCGAGTATGTGCAGCAGAATGCAACCCCCATGAAGGGAAGAATGAAGAAGGACGCTGAAGGTAAGACCCCTGTTTTAACTGACTCGTGGAATCTAACGTGGGCGCCACCAGGATGCCACCCTTCGAGATGGATTCATGAGCTGTTGAATAACAAGTTCACCACTTGCGATCTCTTCGACCGAGCCCGAGCTGCTAATTTGAAGACGCCGTTCGCATGGCAGCACACTCACCGCCTCATGATCAATGGAAACCAAAGCTTCTTCTCAAACACAAACCGACTATTGTCGTCGGTATGCCTGGACTGCCACTTCCACTTTGTGTTCAAGATGTCATGGAGCGAGGAACATGCTGGGCAGGTGTGTAGTCCCCGCCAAGCCCGCTGGCCCGTCCGAGATGCGCAGTTCCCTTGGCATCACCTTGTCTGGGCTGGGTCAGACACGGATATGAACTTGGGTAAGGAAAATTCCAAGTACTATCCTATTCTCGCCCGCGAGTACTTCGTCTGCTCGGCACCGCCATGCACATTTCAAGTTACTCTTGAAATCTCAGAACCTCGCATGGCGTCTTGGTGGATTGATCTGCTTCTTGACCACGATACCATCCGGCAGACTCTGCGCCACGCGAAGGAGCAGGACCCAGAGCGCTATGCAGTAGCAACAGAGGACTGGGCGGAACAGGCGCCTATGAACCTCAACACGTACCTTAAGAATCTGCTTGAGGCAACGTCACCTGAGAAGCCGCGGAGCATATCTAAGAGAAATAAGCGGTTCTCTGTTCTATTTGGACCGCGCTGCTTCTCCATCTTCAGAGAGTTGGAGTTTGGAGAGACAAAGGATGAGCAGGATGGAATCGACGGAGGGTCATTCACCCCTCCATTACCGTCACCCCCAGGTGGACCATTTGGATCAACCGAAACCGGAACGTACCGAGGATTTATTGAGGATGTCAGATCCGAAGTTCAGTGCATCATCCACAGAAGTGGCGAGCCCGCCGAGCTTTGTACTCCTGGCCTTCACGCAGACCTGGGATGCGTCGAAGTGAACAACACCAATGACAGCCATTTGATTAACATCCAACGATACACGTTGCTTGGCGTTCTTCCAAACCAGCCCAAGGAGATCGTGGTAAACGCCTACAAGCGACAGTGGGAGCTCTTGCCCAACAAACGAAAGGAGCTTATCGATGCCCTCATGGGGATTGCCAATGACCTGAATGACGAGCAACTCGCTGACTACGCTGCCACTCAATCTTCTGTGTTCGACAGTCAACTCCCGACGCAATCTAGCAACGACGACGATGGGATAGTTGCCCAAGCGTTGGCTTTTCTTGGCTTGCAGCCTCCTAACAAATACAACGCCGAAACGCTGGTTGCAGCATTCCGCCAGAAGCTGTCCCAAGAGCCCAAGATGGCCAACAGCGCCCGTCAAATGCTTCTCATGATTGCCCAGGCTTCCACAGACGACACATACCAAGCAATTCTGCTCATGGAAGCCAATGGAAAGATGTCTGTCGCGACGGCAAAGGCAGTCCTGGGGATGAAGGAAGACAGTAATTTGGGACCCGAAGTCATTGCGGCTGCCAGGACCAAGGTAAATCGAAAAGTTGATATGAATCCTGAAATCTGGATCTAACAGAGTATATAGATTGCATTGAGCAACGACAAGGAAGAAAAGGCAACCTATTTGGATGCTCTCGAGGCGATTGCGGATCTCACAAACGCAACAGACCTCAAGCAGCTTGTTGCCGTTCAACGCCAAGAAAACGGAATCGAGATTCCAAAGGGAAGCTCTGTTCCGGATGCCTCAGGTCGGCCAGCCAATTATGACTTGCCTGTCGGCCTAGAGAACATCGGCAATACTTGTTATCTGAACAGTCTTTTGCAGTATCTCTTCACTGTCAAACCCGTTCGAGATATTGCGCTCAACTACGAAAACTTCAAATTGGAGTTGAATGACGAGAGTATCAAACAGCGATTGCTGGGCGGAAACAAGATGCAAATGGACCGTGGCGAGGCTGTAGTCGCTCAGGCCTGTATGTTTCAACCCATTTTCAAGTTATTCCTTAACTAACGGTTTCGCAGTTGCCCAAGAGCTCTCTGATCTATTCAACAATCTCGAAACGTCAGACAAGGTCGCGACTCGACCCTCACAGAGGCTAGCCAACGCTGTCCTCTTGTCTACTCACACCCTTCTCAATGATTCAAAGCCGGCTGAGCCCGTTGCAGGGCCCAAGCCACCACCTCTTCCCGCTCGTCCGCCTCCTGAGCCTCCCGCCAAGAGCTCCGGCGATGTGGAGATGGCGAACGGAGCTGTTAAGGAGGAGCGCGATCCAGTTGAAACGGCTAGTACCGTAAGCTCGCAGACGCTGGTCGAGGATGGCTCTGATCATTCGTACGAGAAAGTCGAAGTCCCGTCGGCAGCGACTGACGACCAAACTACGGATACGGTGATGGCTCTCGAAGAGGGCGACTCCCCTGCTGACACTGTTCGGCCAAGTCTCAAGAGCACTGAAACCTCCGAGACAATCATCAAAAGTACTGATGGAACCGCCAATGGAGAGCAAAACGCCGATGTCAGTATGGCTGATACCGACGAGCCGCAAACAGTGGACAGTAAAGTCTTGACTGCCCTAGAACATCAGAAGAGATCGTCGGGCACTGATCAGCAGGACGTGGAGGAGGTGATGGGGAGCATTCTCAACCGACTCCAAGCAGCTATCCGGCCATCATCTGTCGACGAATCAACTGGAATTCAGTTGGAAAAGATCATGGAGACATTCTTCGTCACGACAATCAACTATACCAAGAAGTTTGACGACAAGACCTATCAGAAGGAGATCAGCTTTGACCGGTCCATCACCGCATTCCCAGCTCCGGAGGGGTCTTGTTCGCTGTATGACGCCTTGGGCCGAAACTTTGACCAGCAAATCATCGAGGAAAGCAAGCTCTCACGATACACAGCGATCAAGACGCTCCCACCTGTGCTCCATGTTCTTATTCAACGGTCCCAGTCCATGGGCAGCAAGAATGGCAATCCTGTAGAAATACCCGAGACGCTATATCTGGACCGGTACATGGATGCTCCGCACGACTCACCCACCTTCCAACAGAGGGTTCAAAGCTGGGCGGTTGCCAGCAGAATATCAGACTTGAAGGCGCAGAAGGCTCGAGTGGAAGCCGTCATTCCCACGGGGCCGTTCCTCGAGTCCTGTGGAGAAGAGGAGCGCACGCCCATTGTCAATTCGTCTTGGGCTGAGGATGACACGATGGAGGATGGCGTCCTTGATTTTGAGAGAGAAGAGAATTGGGACTTTGATGGCCCAGTGGATGACGATTTCCTTCTTGTATCCCATCCAACCAACGAGGTGCCGCCCACTACCAAGGTCCCTGTCAAGCCACAGGGCATCGAGTCGGCTGAACGCACCGTTCGGGAGATGATGAGCGATGAGCTGCGCCAGAGGGAGGAGGACCTTGAGAAACACCACGCCGGGCTTAAGAACATCCCGTATCGACTACATGCCGTCATCTGTCACCGAGGCCAGCTGATGTCTGGTCACTACTGGGTATGGATACACGACTTCGAGCAGGACGTGTGGCGCAAGTACAACGACTCCAACGTGGACGTGAAGCGCAACACAGACGAAGTGCTTGCAACCTTGAGCACCAGTGGCGAACCCTACTTCCTCTGCTACGTTCGAGACGAGGACAAGGATACATACGTGAATGTTCCTAGACGACAAAGACCGGAACAAACCACGGATGCCGACGGTGACGTTGTTGTTGCCAACAGCGAACCTACCCCTGCAGTTGAGCATACACAGGACTTTTCGCCCCCATTCGGGCCACAGAAGAGCGACTAGGAGTCTGAGAGAGAAATTGGGAGAGAAGGGCAACCGAGACTCGCGACGAAGCGGCGGTCGCCAAGGTGGAACAATCAAGCACGGACACCCCCCAAACTTCGGCGCCTCATCCCCCGAGTCATTACCATTAATCCTACCGACCTACCGGATAGACAGGAGGGGGAGGAAGACCTGGGCAAGCCGAAAAGGGACCCGGTTTTGGATCGCGTGTTTGAAACCATAGATTTGTTGTAAAGCCCGGGATAGTAACCTGGGACGGCTTGAGTGGTTGGAGACGATTTGTATTGGTTTGAGCAGGTGGCGTTCGGAACGGAGCATCGAGCGAAGACCATACCCATGACATGAGATGCATTCACGAAGCGATAGTTGCTACAAGACAAGACAAGAAAGACTGGGGACGATTTGACTAGCAGTAAATTGAAAAGTTTATTCAAACAAGGTCATCCCTTGTGACCACAGGTTATGTATCATTGGTGGATCATGAGTCTGATATGATGAGACAGACGATGACATTTATCGGCCAGTAAAGACAGGCTTCCTCTTCTCCTGGAACGCCTTCAGAGCTTCATGCCTATCCTCGGTGTTTACAACGCGCTCATACATCTTGTTCTCAACCTCTTCCCTGGCCCAAGCAACAGCCTGGAGAGCTGCCCTCACACCAATTGGCCCTCCTTCACAAATCTCCTGGGCGAGCCTCACAGCCTCACTCAGGGCAGCTTTCCTAGCTTCACCGAGAATATCAGAGCCGTCGCGCTCATCCTCAGGAACAACCTCGACAAGGCGATCAGCGATGCCGAGGAAGTAAGCCTCAGGGGCGGCGACCCGGCGGCCGGTTAGGATAAGGTCGCGAGCGCGAGAGAGGCCTATGAGGGCGGGCAGACGGTGGGTGCCACCGGCGCCGGGGATGATGCCGAGACGGGTTTCAGGAAGACCGACTGTGGCGTTGGAGGAGAGGACGCGGAAGTGGGTGGAGAGGGCGAGCTCGAGGCCGCCGCCGAGGGCTACGGAGGAGATGGCGGACACGGTGGGGATGGGAAGGTTGGAGAGGGAGTTGAGGGTACCTCGGAGGTTGGTGAGGAAGTCGGCAGTGCTACAATTGAGTTAGCTTGTGTAGTTGAAAGTATGATAGGGGACCTACTCTTGTTGCGAAAAGCCCCGGCGCTCCTTGAGGTCAGCGCCGGCGCAGAAGCAAGTATCAACGGCGCTGGCAAGGACGAGAGCTCTTGTAGGGCCCTTCTCATCGACACCAGCAGCACCACCAAATCGCTTCACCGGTGGAAGCTCCTCGCCATTGGGACCATACTGGCTGTGAACAGCATCAACCTCGTCGCGCAGAGTAGCGAGGAGAGCCTTTGAGATGGCATTCCGGGCCTTGGGCCGGTTAAGCTCGAGGATTCGGATGTGACCGGTGCCGGGGGCGGGTAGGTTCGTTACGCGGATGAGAGGCTCGGCTGCCGACGAGTAGAAGCGCCGCAGGCTGCGGATGGTTATGGGGGACATGCGAGGAGGCATCGTGGGGAGGTCAATTGGGTCGTGGTGGGGGAAGGTGCTGGAGTTGCGGAGGGGGAGATGGGATATAATGACGTCGGCTGTTGTCGGTTCATGGTCTTTTTTTGGTGGTTAGCCGTGGGTAGCTTAAGCCGACTGAGAGCTACGATAAGCCGATAAGAGGTTGTAAAGATGAAGCTCTTTCTTATACGAATTTGTATTCTATTCTTTCTATTTTTCATTTTCATTTGATATTTTGTTGCTGTTGTTTGGGAATTAGGCAATTGATGCATCTACCGTATGATATGAATGCATCATGGAGCCGATTTCGGTGGAGAAGATGAGTTAGTTAAGCATGAAACACGCAAGACGTTTCCACTCATTGATTGAGGTGCAGATGTTTATACACCCGAGAATGATTTCTCAATACTTGACTCTATTTCTTTCTTCTTATCATCTCTCACCGCTGCTTCACCGAGACATGATCACCAAGGACCGCCGAGCACACTTCACCTCTCAAGATCTACAAACCCCTGCCGTTTCTGGGGAAGCGGCGCCAAGACACGCCAGTTCCCTAGAAGGTGGTAATTTGCGGATCCAGCGCTCTAAACTTCATTGGATATTCTCCTCAGCCTCCCAGATTTTGAGTCCCCGGTTTCTTTGTCCCTTTTCCCTCTCCTCCCCAATTTGTAAGCTTTCCAATCTACTCGGTAGAGTTTTGGATTTGCATACCTTACCTGGTGTCAAATGAGAATGGACTCGGCTTCAGGTCGCTGTTAGTCGAGTCCGTGGGGGATAGGCCTCTCTGTCTTAACAAGGAGAGACAGAACAAGACGAGACAAAAATTCCGCAATGGCTGGGACCGTATCAACCTCACTTCCCCTGTCGTCATCGCTCACAACCTCCTCAATCTCAACACCAACACCCACTACCCTCACCATCCTCCTCCGTTCTAGCATCGATGGAACATCAGACTTTTTTCCTTTTCTAGATATTGCAGGTCTTGGCTCAGGTTCCGACTCTGTCGACTCGGGTCTCACCTTCAAGGAACTCTTTGAGACAAATCTCGACGGCGGCCAGGAAATTGTTCTTTTCAGTTCGGGATGTCAAGTTGAAGACGGCACTTCCGATTGCACGCGCGCCTGCAACAATTCTGATCTCTTCTTCAGCTCCCTGGAAACTTTTTACAACTGCGCCGCTCTGGCAGCTGTGAACTACTGGAGTCAGGATGTCAAGTCATACTACATTAGTGATGAGACAGAGCGCAATGCTAGCTCCATCATGGGCGCCGGCACGTTGGCTGAGTTTGATGGGACGCCGGTTCTCAAGTCTCTTATCACCTGCGCTCAGGATGCGTGTGAGAATGACGGATTGAGCAAGCCCTGTAGCCGCAGTATTGATGCGCTTTCGTATGGAGAGTCGAGCGCTCAGGAGATATTTGACGCCATGGATGACTTTTGTCCCGAGCTGGCAGCCGAAATCAACCCTGATATCTTTGGGCCGGGCGTAAGACCGACATGACATCTTCTCAGTCTTGAAGCTGACCTTTCCAGGTTCTCATCTCATATGTTCTTCAAGTCAGCTTCGCTGCAGCATTGTACCTCCTCCTGAAAGGCTTCACCCTCTGGGTCCGCATCACCCAAGGTCCCAATCAGCGCAAGTCAGAACCCAAGCCTTACCGCCTGAAGCGAAGTCTTACCCGCATCGAGAGCATGATCTGGAGAGATTCGGGGGGTCTCTCACGCACGAGTATCGCCATTGCGACGACACTAGTTGAGTTCCAGGAGGCTCAATGCTGGTTCGTCTTTGCTGTCCAGATTGCTTCTATCCTCGCCATTGTCGTCAACTCTCAGGAGGGAACCTTTTGGGGTGAGATCGTGGTCAATGCCGCCATTGCCTATCACGTCAGTCAGAATGGGGTTCTGCCAATGTTTCTAATCCAGGTTTGCTTGCACCACGAGGGCATTAGGAACTGGCATACTTTCTTGGGATTCTTTATGGAGTACTTGCTCGCTATTGTTGCGACGACGCAAAAGATTTACTTCAAGGATGCCTTTGCTCTATTCAAAGGCCAGAAACAAATCAAAGGGTGTGGTCTGAATCCGAGCCCGCGGACGTATTGCGCTGCGACTCGAGGAATTGACGGGCAAGCTTTCAGCTTCTTCCCGCATCCTCTCTTGTACAAGATGGTGTTCCTGATCCTCGACAGCGTGGCCATCATAGCATTGGTAGTGGACCAGTTCGCTTGGACACTGCGAAAACACCATCTCACAAAGCACGTCCAATTTGGATCGTTTCGGCTGGGACGGTGGCCACGATGGGGGAAACAGCGGCGTGGACTATTCATCAAGCGATGGTTCTGGAGGATCCTCGAGGTCGCTTACCTGGTTGTGAATATTCTATACATGATCTCACTCACCAAGGTCATCAACTCTGAGAGTTTCGCAGCCAACAGGTGGTCATACGGCCAGATCATTGCTGTGACGGTGTGGGGGCCTGTCATTGTGAAGCTATTCGATCTCCTCCTCTGTAAGTCTCCCCGATGACTTGTTTCCGATCGAGTTATTCGCTGACCGCATATGCAGCTGGACCACCCAAGAACGGCTTGAGGCTGAACTCGGGCCCGCCACGTCTGCGCATCGACAACGTTATAAACGGTCGAGTGGGGACGTCTGCAGATGAAGAATGCGAGGATGAAGATGCCAAGTATGACACCGAGCCGAATAGCGGGGGAGGCTTCATGGTTCGAGGATCTCGGCTAGAGTTGGCGGATCTAGACCGTCAGGATGTGGAGGAGAATGCGGCAACGCAAGATCGAGCTGATGATGATGGCTCTAAAGGAAAAGGAATTGGACGAGGTGATGATTAATGAGATATCGCATTTATGATTATGATTGATGAAGCATAAGATTGGACTAGTCATGACGTTTGTTAGTGTTAGATCAAGGTACTTTTAGACTTGGTGGATACAACAATCGGGGCATCATGATACTGTATGTATCCACTTGGTGATGCCTTCGCGAGAGCAATGCCAGCGAGAGAAGTTGGTTTAATCCAGTCAAGAACTTGGAAAACATCATGTGACGCAGAAACTATCCTCAACTGATCAAATATCCATGTCTCAAGCCATGCACATCACAACCAGCCTCACCAAAGGCAAGCCTCCACTTACAAGCTTCCCCACAGCTTTCCATTCCCCCTTTTTTCTACGATCTGCCATGGAATCTCTCGATGACCTAGTAGAGCTTCTCCAGCTTTAAAAAAGCCTCCCTGCGTCATCATTGCTACATGCTCTTCACGTGTCGTGCCGGGTCGCGCCGCAACAAGCCTCCCTGGAGCTCTTGCCCCGCGAAGTCATGATGTCATGACGAGGTCAACGGCCGCCTTCGTCATACAGTGATATAACAATGCTCTTCCCAGCACTTTTTCTCTCTTGCAATTGAAGCTTCATCTCTGAATTAAACCAATTGAACCTTTTACACCATAAACAAACAAACTCCTACTTCCAATTTACAACAACAAACAACAACCTACATCATGTCCTTCATCCTCCGCCGTGCCGCTCTCGCTCCCCGCGTCATTGCCGTCCAGGCGCCGCGAACATTCACCACCAGCTTCGCCGCTCAAAAGACCGCCTCCGAGGTTGTCAAGGATGCAGCCAAGAAGGTCGACCGTGTCGTGAGCGACAAGATTGTCGACGGCATCGAGGCAGGAGGTCAGATCCCCCACATCCACTACCCCATGATGAACTCAGCTAACACACAACAACAGAAACCGCCACCGGTAAGGTCAAGGAGACAGCCCAGGACATCTCAGGCAGCGAAGTCAGCGGCAAGACTGCCGAGCTGAAAGGCGAGGCCAAGGGAAAGGCCAGCGAGCTCAAGGGTGAAGCCAAGGGTGCTGCCAAGGAGGCCAAGGGCAAGGTGAAGGGCGCCGCCGAGGAGATCAAGAACAAGTTGTAAAATGGGTGCAATTGGGGATAATGAGGGTCAGAGACGATGGCCTGTTGTACTTTATAAGCCATGCATCATCATACGGTTGAGGAAGTAATTCAAGCATCAAGAAGCATTCCTAAATGAGTTCTCTTCGACAAGCACTGGTGCTAACGAGTGAATTGGGGTTTAAGACATGCCAAGCAGAAGCAATCAACAATTACGTCATTGCTGCTGCGATATTATTTTCATTCATTCCATTATCCTATCCTCTGGGTATCAATCCACAAGTCATTCAATCTTCCATTAACCAATCAATGCTCAAGCCATGTTTGTCTTCTTGGGTTGGACATTAATCTCGCCAAGAGGGAACCTAACCCAAGTTGTATCCTCCGTCATGATACCAGCAGCACCAGCATAAAATGCCAGGAACGCGCAAATGACGGAAAAAGCTCCTCCCGTCTTATTAATCCTGATAGCAGCGACAGGGTGGCTGGTCTGCAGGAACTGAGCCAAGCTGAGGAAGAGGAAAGCCAGGAACAAGAAGCCAAGCACCAACAGAATGGCAACGTTGGTCTTGAGAGCGGCGATGAAGAAGATGAGCGTCAGGAAACACCACAGGATGAGAAAGATTCCCAGGGCGAAGCTGTAAGCTCGGTCGTCTCCCTTGTATGCGTCCTTGATGGCGAGGTCGGGTACGAAGAACATGGCAAAAGCGAGCCAGAAGGCACCGTATGAGCAATGAACGGTTGTACCGAAGGTGTTGCCGACACGGAACTCCATCAAGCCAGCAAAGAACTGAGCAATGCCGCCGAAAAAGACTGCCAGTCCAAAGATGGCTTGGTCAGGGCCGACGCCGCTAAAGGGGTTCGATCCAGGGAGGCTATTCACAAAAGTTAGCAAAGCTCCTAGTGTCCAACAAGGCAGTTTCAACTTACCCAGCACCGCACTGATACAAGCCAAGAACAAAGGTCGTCAGAGCGAAACTAATCAGGCCCAGTGGACCAGGGTTGGCAACTCTGTAGAAGGGAGGGTCGTAGACCTGCGACACCATGGACTGGTGAGGCTTCTGAATATGGGTGCGAGGCACATGATGGTTGTTGTGGTGGTGACCGCAGTGGTGATGCATGTCATCCTCCTTATCGGTATAATGAGTTGGGGTGCTGGCCCCGTTGGAAGGAGAAGGGGTGCTCGAAGACATCTTGTCTACTATATCAAGGCAAGTATCAAGCTTCTGATATCGAGAAGAACAGGTAAGAGACAGGTCAAGTCAATCAACTCTGGGGTTAGAGTATAGACTTTATATCCCCCCTCACAACCCCAAACATCACCCCAGAGAGTACCCCATACCCCATCACGTTGAGCGTGACGCTGGGGCGGACATCCAACTCCATCCGGCTCTTGAGAACGGCTGTCCATCTCCTGGGGTGATCGCAGGGTGGATCAGCAAAGAGATTGGAGCAACATGGCAACTGCTTGCAACCCTTTGCCTCCTTGGAGAACATGACCCACGGGACTAACAGAATCGACACTCAAAGGGCCGAGGAGACAGACCCCCAATGTGGAGGTTTGGTTGGTCATGGCATACGGAACCTTTGGTAGACACTCAATCTTGAAAAAGCTGGATCTGTCGGCATGTCGTTATGGAGCACGCCCGGAGAGAGCGGACCTATCATCCAGGGGTCTGGTTGAGTCGTGGGTTACGTTGAGGGTCGTTGATGGGTAATGTGTGGCGATGGTTGGTTGCTCACTTGAGTCAAGAGAAGACGTTTGGTTTGAAATCAGCCCATCGACAACCTCGGTTGTTGAAGTCAACGGGGCCGTACTAACTGGACATGTTGTTAGCCCAGGTCGCTTTCGGCTTTAAGAGGTCCGGTCGATGAGGCTCTGGCCAAGCCGGGCGGGCCGTCAGCCTCAACAAGGGTGACAGACATGAACCAGAGGGCAACCGCTCGAATCATTCCCTTGGCAACCTCTACTCTCAAAGAGCAGGAAAAGCCTGCGGTGGAGATGACGACCGAATCTTGTCGGTGGTGGGTGGAGAGACCATCGGAAGAGTTCCGCTACAACTGATCCACAAGTTGTCGCGGTTGATCTCACAACAAAAAGAGAAGTTCTCTCAAGATTCTTGTTGGATCATGGGTCACGGCAATGCTCTGCCGTCCACCCCATGTCGAATCCCCTCACAGTCCTTTCTTCCCCAAAACACGTTTGTTTTACCCCGAACTCTCCGGTTTCCCCATTGAGGGGAAGCATAAAGCTTTGATGTGCCCCCAAGAGGAAGAAAAACTTGTATGTTCTGATCACATCGGGGGCCCGGACCTAGCACGGCGCCGCTGATGACGATGGCGTCGATGATCCCGTCTGCCGTTATTTCCGGACAGGACGCTTGTCATGTCCGTGGCCTCGGGAGACATATGCTCGGGGCTTCGCTTAAATGGAGCTTTCGGTTATGGTTGGAGTAATTACCGAGAGTGTTGAAGAGTGATTCGGGTGGTGGCCATCTTGACGTCAGTGTCCATGTCTGTAGAAACGTCTGTAGGCAATCACTAAGAGTAGAGCCTCCCGGTCCTGGTAATGTGAGACTGAAAGTTGTATTAAAGAGCAATTGTAGAACAGTATGTAATCACCAAATGGTAGGATCTCTGCATGCAAATCAGCCAAGCATCAATCGGCCCAGTAGCCCGCCACATGGCATGGATCGTGGAAATACACCAGGGTGTGGAATGTCACCAAGGTCAAAGGCTTGTCAACAGGGATCTCACAATTCTTCACCGAAACATTCACCACGGTGAGAGGCTCATCTCCATCTGACATGTCTCGTGACTGTGGCGCAGCATCACTTATCGATAAGATCAAGTTCGCCGATTCTCGGCCGGGACTTGAATCGATCCCTGCTTGTTTGAGGTCCCCGAAAATGTGGGGAAGTCCGCGCTCCAGCTCTGAGCTTCCAGGTGCGTGAGTGAGCGGGAATGCGCCAATTGACCTCGTGACGCCCATTGATCCATTGTTTCTTCTCTCTCCAACATGCTCAATCCCGCGATAGCTACACCTTGGCTTCTCGCGGCCCTGAACATGTCCTCACCGTGTACAGGCTCCTGCCACTCATCACAATCGCCATGCCACTAAACAAGTCCGCCGTCCTCCTCTGCTCCTGCAATCCCTTCCCCGCGGCAGTGCCGGCGCTGCCGTCTATAACGTCATCTAGAGGGGCGCCTACAAGACACCACGCCTCACCAACTGCATCTTCGACGCATCAACAAATACGATATGCCACGGTTGGCCATGGCCGTCGAGTCAACTCCCATCGTGACCATGTCCCCGAATGGCCCAAGACCACTTATCCATCCCCCTACGAGATCTTTGCCATGAGGACGGACGATCCATATACCAAGCACCGGTTCTACCAGCTTGTTAAGCTATACCATCCCGACAAGCACAGTCATTCCTCGGACCTTCATCACATCCCCCACGCGACTCGCCTCGAACGCTATCGTCTCATCGTTGCCGCCAATGACCTCCTCAGCGACCCGTCTAAGCGTCAGCTCTATGACAACCACGGCGTGGGCTGGAGCGGCGGTCGCCCACAGACCCTGAACGAGACAGTCCGCAACGCAGACCGCGCATGGCGTCATCAGGCCGGCAGCGCTGCCAACAATGCCACTTGGGAAGACTGGGAGCGCTGGTACGATGCCCGCGACGGCAAGCCCAAGGACCCCTTATACATGTCCAATGGCCTGTTTGCCACGGTCGTCGTTGTGATGTGTATGATCGGGGCCTTTGCGCAGATGAGCAGGGTTGAACAGTCGGGCGCCGACTATATACAGATGACGAACCAGTCCAACCTCGCCATTGGGCAACAGGTCGCCCGGAGAACCTCGGTAGCTCAGGGGCGGTCCAAGGATGAGAGAGTAGATATGTTCTTGAGGGACCGTGAGAACCTGACCTATGCCTTTGTGCCGTCAAAGTATGATAACGACACGGTGGACCCTGGTTCTGCTACACCTAAGCAAAGCACACGAGCAAAGAGTGAGGGTGAGGGTGAGGGTGGTGACGCTTGAAAGAGTATGGTTGGTGAGAACGTACCTTGTTCACCCTTGCATTCAGTGATTTTGAATATCATCGTGTTTCAGCACGTTTGGAGTTTGGAGTTGCACATGATTTTATTCCTTACTGGCCTACCACTCTCCAGTCAAATTAGATATATCCCCAAGACACAAAATTCAAGACATTTCGCCAAGTCCCATGTAACTCTCAGCATAAGACTGATACGAATACCCTCCTGTAATACTCGCTTGATCAGGCACCAAGGTCCTTAGAAGCTAGGTAATATCCATCGACGAGGCAGTGAAGAAGGCCGTTCCGATTCCATCACGCAACAGACAACAAAGTAGATAGGCACGTACGTTTTAATGGCTGTGTACCATTCATGAGGCATCTACCCAGCTCAGCCCTCGGCAGTCGAAACATGGCCCGGTCCTGAGGAACCAGGACCTCCAGATCGACCTCGACCTATTACCCCGAGCAGACTCGATTCTAATGACAAAATGCCTCCTTACGCACACTTCCAATCTCCTCAGGTTTCAATCCCTGATCCATCCGTCCGTCCATTAAAATTATGTGACACCAAACCCCTACTTCAGGAAAAAGCCCCTGAAGTTGAGTGTCATAAATCACTGCGTCCTGCGTCCTTTTCTCAGAACTCTCCATCCTTTCTCAGAATCTTCCTTCTTGGCCTTCTTCTCGTCCTCCACTGTCCCAGGGTGATAATGAGCCATATCTCGAAGGCGGCGACAGAGGACTCACGACTTGGCTCCCCGGGTAGGTCGAGTCCACACCGGACGCGGGCGAAATGGGCACTGAATCGTGGCTCCTCCCCAGCGGGCTGCCCACAGGTTCTGAGCCCTGTATCTCAGAAGCCCCGCGTTCCCCAACGGTATAGACCCGCGGCTTCTGCCAGGTACGGGTGAAGCTTCTGACCTCAGCGACAGCAGGCTGAGGCGTGGGGGACCGAACACCCTGCGAGAGCGTCTCCCTTGGGTCGCTGAGGATGCTACAGCTGAGCAAGGAGTCGTTTGGCGTGTCTGTTCGCTCGGCATGAGAGCTTAGCTCTGGCAGCGGTGGGAGAGAAGGCGGGCGTAGGATGGGCATGGAGTTGTTTCGAGAGATGGTGCTGTTGTCTTCATCGCACTGTTTTCTTCTGTGCCGGATGCATATCCATGCCAACAATATCATGACTGTTACAGCGAGGGCTGTGCCGACAGCGATTGCAGCGATAAGTCCTTGAGAAAGACCATGAGATCTGCCGTCCATTGATGCTGGAGGCGCGGCATCATCGCTTTCGACCGATGTTTCGGCAGATGTTTCGACAGATAATGTCGGTTCTGAACTAGACATGTTTCTTGGAGTTGTCTCCGCTGCTATCGTCGTGGTTCGTGTGGTTGACCTCGTAGGTGGCAGAGGAAATATCGGTTCTTGTGAGAAAGGGTCGGTCACAGTAATCATGGTTGTCAATGTCACTACAGGCCAACTGCCTTCAAAGTCTCGATCGTCTTGGACTGCAGTCACATATATCGAATTGCTGGAGGTCACAGTCTTGCTCGTCCATCGAACAGGCCTCCCCTTGCTGGAGGCAGCAAATAGGGGGCTCGTCGGGTAATCAGTTGCCATGAGCTTGTCAATCTCGGGGGGAAAGACGTCAGCGGCCAGGATATCGCGGCTTGACCTGGTCAGACTCTGTTTCTTGAATACGCCGGAGGAGGGCACGTTTATTGAAAATGATGGCGCCCCCGTGTTTGCTTCCTTTGTCCCCCGGGCGCGCAAGGAGACGCGAGTGGTGATACCAAGCGATGCCATGGCAAAGCCTCTTCATCATCATCGGGCCGTCCAACTATCTTTAGGAACGAGCGCTTCGTGAGCTTGAAATGGACACTTTGGTGACACCAAGATCATCGGCGTGCGGGGGGTTATGTGACAGAGAGAAGGGCTGTGTCATTGACGACTGTAACGTTTCCGCCGTAGCGAATCACTCACTCCGTAGCTTCTCGACCTTTGCCCTCATCACCCTCTCAGCATTTGCTGGGACGATTCGCTCTGTTGGCCCCAGACGCATCATCTTGCCAACAAGATACATGAGCTTGCCCTGTGGAAACTGCTTGTAGTCGACAAACTCCTGCAAGACCTTGTCCTCTCCCTCCATAACCTCATCTGCCAATTTCTCATATTCCTCCTCGGGGATCTCCTTGAACCAGAGGTCATTATCCTCAATAGCCTGAGTGATTCCGCCTTCAATCTCATTGAGGTAAATTGCAAAGAGAAGCTCCTTTGCCACCTTGCCAGTAATCTGCTTGCGCACCAGATGATACAAAAGCTGGGCAAGATCTGCATCCGGAACTTGCAAGCAATCACCTTCGGGTGTGAAGGAAAGATCTCTTGCTGCAAGTGGCCCGGCCTTGAATGTCGTAAGACGGCCAAGTTCATGAATGATCCAGTTGCCAACAAGAGTAGAATAGCTCTTGAATTCTGGCATTTCTTCCTCCGTCAACTCAGCCGCGAGCTTCTCTTCGACTGATTTAAGGACCTTGTAGAAGTACTGAACACGAGAGCCGTTCTCCAGGTTGATCAAGGATAGCGCATCCTTCGCAGTAAGGCCGTACCGCGCGATCAGCGTGTCCAGCTCTGAATCAGGCGAAACAGCCAGCGACCGTCGCAAATGGTCCACAAGGTCGTCTCCGATGACCAGAGGCGCAATATCAGGGTCAGGCATATAGCGGTAGTCCACCTCGCCTTCTTTTCCTCGCAGTCGTCGGGTTTCGTTGGAACCGAGAGTCCAGCCGCGGGTTTCGCTAGGAATAGCCCGTCCGGCTTCCAACTCACTGATTTGACGGTCCCGCTCAGCAATGATGGCATCTTCGACCGCCTTGATCGTGCTCAGGTTCTTGATCTCAGTTCTTGTGCCGAGAGAGGGGTTAGATCCGTCTGTCCTGCGCACAGATACATTGACATCTGCTCGCAGACCTCCAGTTTCCATGCCTGAGACACAAGCGTCAACAGTGTTGAGCAGCATCTGGATCTTGCGAACAAGAACAGCAGCAGTTCGAGGATGGTGCATCTCCGGCTCTGTGATAATCTCAATGAGCGGAACGCCGACACGGTTAAAGTCCAGCCAGTTGACCTTGTCTGCTTGTGCAAGGGTCTTGGCCGTATCCTGTTCAAGCTGAACCTGCTTGATTCCGATAGTGACGCTCTCGCCATCCTGAGGCGAAATCCCGTCTCTAGCGAGGAGGGTGATATGACCATTCCTGGCAAAGGGCTCGTAGTATTGAGTGATCTGGTATCCGGACGGCTGATCCCACCAGAAATAGTGTTTCCTGTCAAACCGGCTGAGCTTCTGGATGTCACAGTTTAGGGCGAGGGCGGCACGCAGAGCGGGAATCAAAGTCTCCTTCTGGAACAACGGCTGACTCCCTGGCATTGAAAGGTCGAAAAGGGCCACATGACTGTTAGGCTCATCGTTGAAAGAGGTGACAGCAGGAGAGAATAGTTTGCGCGCCGTGTTCAACTGGGCGTGGATCTCGATGCCCACAGTCAGTTCCCATCCATCCACCGTTTGTGAGTCACCCTTTGACTTCTTCTTGCCCTGCTTCTTTGCCTTCTTCGCCTCATCCTTGAGCTGTTTGCGCAGAGGCACGGGCTGTGCTGGAGGTGGTGGGACGGTTTCGGAAGAAACGTGCAACAGCCTGGCTGAGTTTGCGACAGAAACGGCTGCTGAAGGTAATGCCGAATGCCTCGTGATCTGTCGCGCACCGACACAGCCTTGTCGTGAGATTTGGCCGCTGAGCAGATACTTGCCCAAGACTGAAGTTGGTATGCGCGGCATGATGAGGATTGATCAAGTTGGCCGGGATGGGAGCTTTTGATGATGTTTGGCAGGAGTTAGGAGTCCAGGAGTTCAATTGACTTTGTAGTCAGTGAGGTCAGGTCACAAGGTATGATTCGAACGGTGCCGCATGAGAATCGTAGAGTGTGAGTCGACGCTGCGACAGCTGGGTTGGAGCGACACCGGAACCCTAGTTGTGATGGGATACAATGAGGTAGAAGCTGAACCCCGCAATCAGAAGGCAATTGCACAATGCACAAAGGCCTCAGGAAATTCTTGACTTGGAAGTGAAGAGAAGGAAGACAACCAAGATGTCTCAATCCCAACCTCAAAGCTCAAGACTTTCCTTCCTGCAGCTTTGGTGGAGCTTAATTAAGCTTGGGTGTCTGGGCGGGACATCCCGGGCCGTTGAAACCACGTGACAGTCTACCCTCACGATCTCGACCCCACGAGCTCAAGAGCTGCAGAATCACCACCACTCTCATCAATCACTATCCGGTATGGTGTAGTGGCTAACATTTCGCGCTCTCATAACCTGAGGGAAAAGTACCGCGGAGCCCAGGGTTCGATTCCCTGTACCGGAGTTCATTTTTTGCCCTTCTTTTTGATGATCTTCTCCTATTATTGTCGTTGGATGCATGATCCTGCCTGCATCTGCCTCACCACCACCACGCCACGTACAGCTCATACCATTTGCTGTCTCTTTTTTTCCTCCATTAGCCGAAGGGGTCAGCCGAAGTCTCCGGCTCGAGCGTCTGGACATGGCAACGCGGCAGGTGACAGGGACCATGTCACCCTTGTTAGCACCTCATGCATGCCGTGGCTTCAAGTAGTCTTGAAACCCTCTCATCTGCTTTGCTCTTCCTCTCTACTGATAGCATCAAGAATCATCAGTCAGACCCGGCATTTTTTGCATCGCTCTTTGTTTATCTTGGTCATTAACACTGCCATCGTTTACTTCTCGCGTGTTTCCTATCCGGCCCAGAGTCAGTTCATAGTGGCACGGTGCGTCAGTCGCTTTTGTGACTCCTCCAGAGTCTCAACATATCGTCATAGTGCTTGTGATAAGTATCTCAAGTATGACTTTTCTTTGCAGAGTTTGAATGTTTGGTGTCTCTGCGGGCACTGACTTAATGTTCAGGGCGACGTTGCTTGCTACTATATCCGTCCATATTGTGTCAAACAGCAATCACTGATAGGCTAGGATACATTGACAACTAGCCAGGGTAAAGCCTCTTTTGGATATACAGTGCAAAAAAGTCTCCCCATCGGACCGGACCACGTTTCAGTACACAGAACCACCATGGACGGCTTTCCAGAATCTCGACGTCAACACTCGCCGGCCTCATCTGCTAGCCCACAGATCGAGAGGAGCAAGCTCAGCGAAGCACCAGCTGAGGGATATGAATTCAATGCTACTCAGCCACCCGCCCCGGACGTGGCCCAGTACGCAACATCTCCCAGCCCGCCTTCCATGATAGACTATGCTTCCACTGGTGCTCTAAATACAAACTCAGCCTCCACCGGGTCCGCCGTTACGCAACTCACGCCCAACGACGACACATCCACAGGCAAGAGCTACACTAGAGAGAGAGTACCAAGGGAACCCAAACATCACAAGAACAAGGCAGCACATCGACTCAGTGCTTTGTCTTCCTCTGGGTCAGAGCCACACTCGGTCGGTCACGATGGAGGTTTCGTGTCTGCCAGCCAGGAACTCAGTTATTTTAAGAGCAAGTCCAGGAGCCCCCAAGCACCAATGCTAGAGTATCCATCGCCCGGTATTTCTGCTCCCAACGAACCGTACTCCCAAGAACAACCATACTCGCAAGAAGCATCCTACCCCCCGGAGCCGCCATACTCTCAGCCTCCTGTCAACCCTGGCTGGGGACCAAACTACTCTGGTCCAGCCTATCCCCCCTATCCATATCCACCACCCCCTGGACAGCAGCCTGGGCTACGTCCCCTCAGCCAGCAATACCCGTCTGGTTACGGTTACCTAGACCCCAAGGCCACTACACTGAGCACCGCATTTGCCAACCGTTCTTCATTTCACGAGTCACAGTATCCAGACGCTCAAGACATGATGGCTGGAAACCGGAATGGTCCTGGAGGGAATATCGATATTCCTTTTGCTGATCTGACTGGATATGCGCGCATAGCATCAGCAATAACAGGCCAGGTATTGCCTGGCGTTCGACCTTTATATCGGCGATTCGAGTGGCTGCACCACCGTCTTCTCCTGTCTTACCAAGACCAACTCGTCGAGCTGGAAGATGAGTTGATAGACCTGGATGCAGTCAGCACAGTTACACGGAGGAGGGAGCAAGGCAGACGAGATCTGCCTTGCTCTGAGAGAGAGGAAAGGACGGAAGATTCTCCTTACAAGCGGGACAAAACTCGAACGATGAGAGATATTGGCCACGTCCTTGACGCATACAGTAAGAATGCCAAAGCCACAACTTGCTGTGTTGTCTAATATTTCCAGCGCAACTCCTCGCTTCCCTAGGAACCATCCAGAAGCTGCCAGCAGCGGTAGCTGAGGATAAGCGAGCTTACAGAACTTTTCTAGCTCAGCGAAACCTCATCGTTCAGCCTGAAACCGAGTTCCTGCGTGCTGCCGATCTCGTTTGTGTGGCTCGAGAGCCTCCCGCGGATGCGCCACGCGCTGCCGATGACAACGCCGAGGCGGGGGGCGATGAAGCAGCCCCCCAGCCCGAGGTTCCTCTACGGGCTCTCATAAACGGCTTCTCGGCAGGTTTTGCTTGTTTGGCTGTGTCGCTGGTGGCTCTTCCAGACCTCACCAGTCGGCTGATCGTGGTACTGTGTTTTGTTGTGCTGGCCGCTGTTGTCATGATGGCGACCGGGAACGCCAGGCATTTAAGGGGCTGATAGCAGAGAGAAATATCAGGGGGGGTATTTGGCAGCAAGCTTCTGAAACTGCTGGCCATCCAAGCTTCGGTTGAGGGGGGCTGGTTTTGTCCAGTTGGATTGATACCTTTCGTGTGGGCATGCCCTTTGTCTTATGAACAGATCAGGGCTATGTTTTCTTTTCATGTACTTGCTATGTTTTTGGAGATGGTCTTCGAACCAGAGTTGTATTGCTAGGGATGAGTGGTTCTCACGGAGTTACAGTCATGTCTTTGTTTCACTAAAGGATGGTTTTTTATCCACTTCGAACTGGCCGTTTGCATATCACAATGCCCGGAGAGTCTCTGCGGATCTAGGAGCTAACCAAACTATCCATTCCAGTTGTCCCGTTGACGAGTGCGATGTTGAACTCGGTCCAGAACGAACTCGACCATCCACGCCAGGAACATGAGGGCCGATTTGGAAGCTCCTTTCATCCAATCGGGCGAATGGTTTAGTGGTATAATACTCCCTTAGCATAATTCGTCCATCAGATGCCTGCATCTGGGAGTGGTCCAGGGTTCGATTCCCTGTTCGTCCAATATCGGTGGTTTGAATCCACCAGCAATCCTTTCTTTTTGACAATTTTTCTTCTTTTGCGTGGTTACCCTGCACCAAAATGTTAAGTAATTCGCTTCTTTTTCAACATTATACACTTCTTCTTTTTAATAGTTACGCAATGTCTAATCTTGCTTGTGTCCATCAGTATATACATAGAGAAATAAAAAATGCCTACTAACTTTGTTTTCGGAGTGAGGTGATGTGTACACCCATTCAACGTCATGTAATTGCCTCCTCCAGCCACTCCACCCACAGCTGGTCTAGACTCATTGACGCTCTTGCTTACTAGGAACACAACTTTAGTAAGTGAACAATTTGATTAAACCAGGGAACCAGCTGAATCTTCTTCTAACCGCCACGGCTCAACATCTCGACATCTACAGGCCGGGCCACGACATGATCAAGGGCCCCCATCTAGACTCTTTTATCTCAAAGGACCCTGAGACATGTGGTTTTACTACCAGAGACGCCGACTCGCTTAGACAACCCTCGATTAGGCCGCTCGCGGGTCATTGCCGGCTGCCTCACCACGGGACTGTCCCTCCTCGGGTGCACACTTCTGAGTAACTCAACAATATCCTCCCTCACCCCTTTTCAAGCGACATGAACACTGCCCGGACACGTGTTGGAGAGACAAGAGTACGACGTATCTCGAGGGAGATGAGAGTCTGAGTTGAGCATCGTCGTCCAGCAGCAGAGAACGTTGTTCAGGACAACGAAAACGAGATTCGAGGCCCAGAGTTGATCTACGAATAGCTTGCATGCTCAATATATCCCATACAAAGGACTTTCTTTGTGAGAGACGTAGATGCGAGATGCCGCTGCTGCTGTAACGTGTCACGGCCGCCGCAGCATCGCACACCCAAGGACGCTTGCATGATAGCTGGCTGACTTGGATTATGGGACATGGCGGAGCTTGTGTGTTGTGCACAAGAGAGGGAGATTGCAGTTTGAAATGGGAAAAGAAAAAGGTTGGCATCCTCCTAACTTGGAAAAAAAGTTCTTGTTGACTCGACGACAACATCTTGGACTCGTTCTCTTTTCGGCGGTTGACTTTACATTGAATACCGACATTACGCTACCCTTTCCATTGTTTGGCGGTTTACTCTTCACTCCAATTACTCAAAGGTACGTTGTTTTTTTGTATTGTTGTGAAACTCTTGATCCTCGAGCAAACACCTTGTCTCTGCCTGCATAGCCCCTGGATATTACCTGCGTCAAGAGCACAGCCAACACGAACGAGAATGAACATTCCATCATGCTTGGAGGAGAGAAAGAACCAAAAATAATGTCTCTGCAATGCTAGCTCTACAGCTCAATCCTGCAGAATGTCTTCGCCCCCTCGATTCAGGGGGCAAACATGAAAAAAGATGCCTCAACACGGCATCCGGTGCAACAATACAATACAGTAACACCAAGTAGAACCCGGTTTCCCAGGCAGAAACTCTCTCAATTCAGCCCCTTATTCATTCAATCATACCTTTTTTTCTCTTTAGAATATCACCCAGTCGTTGCCCCAAGTAACAAAAAATCTGGGTTGGAACTGTCGAGCAGCTGGCAGCAACCGACAAGGCACTGCAGGTCCCGCGCGCGCCTTTCGCCTTCCCATTGTTTACCTGCCTTGCAGCCGTTATCAAAAAGGTCTTCTGCCTGGTTCTGTTTCCTTTTCTCTTTTCTTCTTCACCCTTCACTTCGCGCATCGAAACATCAACATTCCCGTGCGCATCACCGCTTTCCAACATCGACACTCGAATATCTTTCGACCCGTCTTGGAATCTCAACATCTTCAAGGATATCATTTGTGAGTGCGGCATCTCTTTTTTCTTCTCGTGCTATCGGCTTGGACTCGTGAATGTGCCCGACCGCCGCCCGTCACTTGGCTCTCCATTCATCCTCCACCACGCCTCTCCAGTAGATCAACATCACCTTGACAGCTCCTCATTACCTTCCTTTCCCTTCTCCCTCCTTACGAAAGCTGCTCGTCGTCGCAACGGATCACCTGCTAATCCACTTCGCAAGCATATTCTTCCCACCGTCACGATGGCTGTCTTCACGATCAAGGCCCTCGCCAGCGCCCTGGCTGTCTTCAGTGCTTTCTCCACCGGTGCTGTCGCCGATGAGCTTCCTGAGCTTCCCGAGGCTGCTCTGTGTATGTTATCATCCTAAAGAAGCTCCTCATCTCTCACTGACCTGTATCCAGCCGCCCAGACCACCACTTACCAGCCTGTTACCCAGCAGCATGGCGTCGCCACCGCTGACGGTACGTGACACTCCCTTCCACTATTGACTGCTTCCTTCTGACGACTTCCTAGGCAATGTCGTCTACTCTCTGAGCGTCTGCACTATTGTTCAACAGACTGAGTGCTCCCTCGTTCTGTCCACCGACAGCCAGATCCCTCCCCCCATTGCCACCGACGATTTCTCTGTTCCCGCCGAGGGCGAGCCTACCACCGTCAACGGCATGGGTGAGACTTCTCCTGGTGAGGGTTACCCTGAGGTCAGCGAGACTGGTCCTCACGCCAGCGTCCCTACTGGCTCCAAGCCTGACTACTCCGCTCTCCCTCCTCCTGAGAGTGTTCCTAGCCAGCCTGGTGTTCCTGCTCCCAGCCCTTCCGCCGGCGAGCCTGTCCCTACCGTGCCCTCTGGCGCTCCTGGAGAGCCCATTCCTATCCCATCCGTCATTAGCACCGACGGTGAGCCCGAGAACCCTACCGCTCTCACCACGGACTACGACGGACCCTCCGTCACCGCTGAGGGCAGCGCTTCCGGGTCTGCCTCTGGCTCCGACTCGGTCACCGACACTGACTTCCCGACTGTCACTCTCCCTGTGAGCAGCGACGGCCCTTCGGCTACTGGTGAGGATGGTGACAACACTCCCACCGGCACTCCTACCGTGACCGCCTCTGGCGCTGTCGTCATGGTCCCTGCTGTCCGCGCCGTGGTTCTCGGCGTCGTTGCCATGCTTGTTGCCGCCGCCTTCTAAGGAACAACACCTTGATCCGCTCCACGCCTCCATATACGCCATCTTCGGTTGCTTACTCGACGTTTGACAATGTAGACGGTGCTAGTTGGATGGCTTCACAGGGGATCTGTCTGTGGTTGGTTTCTATAACCTGGTGGAAAGGATGGCACTTGTGTTTGTTTTTGGTCAAAAGGAAAGGAGGGACATAATACGTCTTGTACCTAGGTACTCTCTGAACTGAGTCGGGGTTTATTCAATCGTCCTCTGTTGTGAATGTGCCTGTTGAGATCGTGATCATGAGTATCAACATATGAATCAAGCGCCACTCCATACGCCCTTGGTCTATTAATGCCTAGAACCAAAACATCTGGTATCCTTACGCTTTGACATGACAAACAGGGCAGCCTCCTCGCACCTTGTCCTTCAACAGCCTCGCCTTCATCACCTTCATACCAACTGAATATCGACTCCCCTCTTCAGCGCCGTTTCCTAGATCGATATCTACCTTTCCTCCGTGTAGCATCTCCAAGAGATGGCTCACGTGGAACACATGCCCACACGCATATCCAACCAATGTCTCCATCTCATACTCTGTAAATGGCTCGTGGCATCTCGCACAGTGCCCCGGCTTCGGCACCCGGTGGTCATGGTCCGTTGAAGGATGGGCTTTGGTCTCCTCAGGGTTGTCCGGGTCCGTAGGAACATCCTTAACCTCGATATCGACGTGATCGCTTTCCTGGACCATCACCTCGAACTTGATGCCCTTGCGCTGTCCAGCCCGGAGGTCGTTCTGTGCCGCAGCCACCTCGCTTCGAAGGACACGCGCAACGCCCGAGCTGATGCTGTATTGTATCTCGTGTTCCTTCATCATATGTGTAAGGCCCTCCCTGAGCCCTTCAATCTCCAGTCCCTCCGGAATCCGTCGTACCACGGTAATAGGGTTGATTGCTGTACCAACCTGCTCCAAAAGGCCACGGATAAAGCTGGGCTTGTCCATACTATACTTGAGAAGGTCTTCCCAAAGGTCAGGGTCGTCTTGTTCCTTGGCAAACTCGATTGCCTTGTGCACGTTCTTGAGTCGGTCAATGATGAGGTACAAGGCACGCTTCATCTGCCCGGTCTTGGAGTAGAGAAACACCAGTTCATCATAGTATGAGAAAGTCTCGCATTCATGGACAGCCTACGCCAGGTTAGCTTGAGCACAGCATCTTCTCCCCAAGTTCAACTCACCTTTTCAAATGTGTATGAGACAGAGGTTTTGAGGTACTGCATCAGTAAATCGCGGTCAAATGTCGCAAAAAGATGGACCGCCAAGTCAGCAAAGTTGTCCACCAAGGATTGACTGTCCATGACCAGTCTGTCAACATTCTCCCCTGTGTGCTCCTTGATTCCCTCACCTCTCCATAGGCCTCGGAAGTAGAAGTATATGTATAGGTTGAGGTTCTGGGAGAGTAGTTGTTCCACTACAATGTCTGGGCGCAGGAGACCATGCTGAGCCTCGTCGACTAGCAAGGTGACTGCTTCGGATGTGGCTTCTTCAAGCTCCTCGGCTGTCATCTGGTCCAGTTTACCTGATGGAACTCGGAGTCCCATGAAGCTGGGAATGTCGTCCGCGACTGCCTCTGCAAGGTGATTTTCTCTAATCAGACGGAATGCCGAATCAGCGTCATGAAGTTTGATGTAGCACTTTAGTGCCTCCCGTTGACGTCCGTTGGCCTCGTGGAGCCTTGCCAGGCTTTCCACCACGATCCGCCAGTCTCGTCCCTTTTCTCCATCGTCGATGCTGTCTTCACGAACGTCCCGGTACTTGAGCTGATTCTCCAAGGCCGTTGTGATAGTCTTGATGTCAAACAACTCAGGTGCCCAGCGGTCGAGCAACTCCCTGAACCGCACCTTGTCATTCTGAATGTAATGACCAAGCACGACTTCGTATATAGTCGAAGGGATTCGAGGGTGCATCGGCTCCGTCGGTATATAGTTCGTGATGGCATCGAACTTTTTGGCGCCAGCAAATGTCCAAACCCACTTCTCCCATCTGTCCGGTGTCTTTAGCACCTTGCCACAGATCTTGCCAGCAGACACCCAGTCGTCTTCCTCGATGAGCTCCTGAATCCACATTTCCCCGATTCGCCGTTTTTCTCGCTCGGCTGACGAGTACATGTCCCTGTACTGCGAGTCAACGGCAGACTCGTCATCGTAAAAGTCGTCGCCGGCGCCTTGTTGCCTCGTTGGTGTGGAAGGAACAGCATCGCTCGTCCGTTCAGTGATTGGAGCCATGATTTCAGGATGTTCGTCCAGAAGCTCCCAAGCCCGTTGGTACTGTTGACGCTCCAGAAGCCACCCCAGGTGATCACTCAAGTCCCGCCTGGTAGCAAGGATACAGTCATACGGACTGTGGATGAATATCTTGACACCCGGTTTAACCAGTCCTGAGTGGACTGATGACGACACGCCACCCCTTGAGCCAGGACGGATAGTACCTGTTGTGCTTCCCGCCCTGAGACTGGAACCTACGTCCTCGCCGCTCTCCCTGCTCCGGATACTGGCCCCGGAACTGAAGAGTGCTCGGGGATTAATTGCGGCGTTCCACATGTCCGAGCCAAGTCCCGCTATCGCCTCAAAGGCGCCTCTCGAGGAGGCAATGGCCGATGCTGCGTTTCGCGCAGGCAAAACACCCAGGTGATAGTCGCCCGATGACAGCCTCTCATAGCGACTGACACTGAGACTATCCTTGTCAGCTTCGGCCTGGGAATTAAGGTTGATCAGACGCAATTCAGGAGGCTGATTATTTTGCCGATGACGAATGCCACCTGCAGGCTCGCTTCCCGTTGAGAGGGTTGACTTGTGCTTTCTGGCTGGCGATGCTGAGCCGGCCTCTTCGTCTTCATCTTCGTCGTCATCTGGTAAACAGTACGCAAGAACCAGCAACAGGTTTTGGGTATATAAAGAAATTCCGGAAATGATGCAATCCATGCGAAGTCTGTTCACCAGTTAGTTTTATGGTAGTCAAATGCTGACCAGAACTCACATCTTAACAATCTCTGCCCGTCCCAGACTCTTCTCACCAGCGTGCCGTCCAACGCCAACACCACCAGGATGGACGTGAATAATCCATATTGTTCCACCCCAGCCTACGAGCAATCGCTCGATGCTTCTCTTGCCCAAAACAGCTTGTTCTTTAAGCTTTTCGGCAGCTGGCGACAAGGCCTTGTCCAGGGAGCCCTGATCAGACTCGTCCAGTTCAACGGATTGTTCATCGATCCATTCGACTCGGCCTTTCCATACACTGGCCATGGTCTCCCATTCATCTGTCTGTGGTCGGTCGATGTGTCCTATCCGTTTCCAAGCGTCCTCTGTGTCTGCACTCTCGAGATGGAGCTTTGAGCGCATGATCTTGATACCGTGTTCGTTTAACCAGACCACGTATTTACCCGACAAGGACCATTTGATTGTACTGATTGTTCCTTCACCAGAGTGCAAAATGGTATCCTTGCCAGTGTTGCTGCCAATACCCATGCTGCCCAACCACCCAGAGGCCGTGGCTGCAGCAGTCCCCGTCGTAGTTGAGGTACTTCGACCTGGGCCACCACCCACAGTAAGAATGAGTTGGCCAGCCAGTCCTCCTGAGAGATATGTTCGGTCTGTTCTGAACTCTGGCGATAAAGCTACCGCTTGAACTGGCCGGGCGAAATTCCGCAGTTGGACATCTCTCATGTCGATAAGGGACTGCACGCACACGTTGCCGTCCATGGAAGACGTGGCGACAAAGATGTCATTCGAGGGAATCTTTGGGATTTGAGGTGCTTCACGGGGCCTTCTGGATGCCGCCGCCGGAGATGACTCTGTTTGACGGCTGGAGACGCTGGCGTTGCTGGGTGCCGCATGTCGTGGTGTCCCTTCCGGCTTTTCAGTTGGCAATGGCGGTGGATATGGAGATATGGAAATAGAAGTCACAGATGCCGAATGGGCGTGGTAGACCCTTAATGACTGGAAAATGGGGAGTTGAACGACGTGCTGGGCGACGGTTAGTAGTAGGCATGTGGTATGCGTAGCCTCGACTCACAATGTTGCCATTATGCGTTCCAACGATCTGTGTAAAGTTAGCATGTCATCTTGCCTCAAAGTCAAGGACCTACCATCTTGTCCCCAGCGACGAGAAACGCGCTCGTCGCATCTCCATTTTTATATACTCCGCCAAGATGTTGGGTCAACCGCGCGTACTTGAGCCTGGGCTCATCATCCTCGTCGTCGTCGTCGTCGTCGTCGTCGTCGTCTTCATCCTCGTCCTCATCTTCGTCGTCTTCCTCATCGTCTTCGTCCTCCTCGTCTTGGTCTTGGTCTTGGTCTTGGTCTTCTTCCTCATCTTCCTCTTCCTGTTCGTTGTCCTCCTCTTCTTGACTACCCTTGCTTAGTCCCCCATGTTTGGGATCCTCAGACAGTTGCCCGGCTTCCCCAGTCTCGATATCCTTCGCGTCATCTTCCTTCATCTCCACCGTGGAGTCTTGCTCCTTATCTTCTGAGGTGTTGGTCTCGTTCGCGTTGTCGTCGGGAGCTATCGACTTCGCTACTGGGGGAGTCTGAGCTTCATCGCGCGCCGGGTCATGCTTGGATTGTTGGGCCTCAGGATCGTGCTCCTGCTCGTGGCTCGGTTGCGGCGACTGGTCCGTCATTGCGCGATTTGCATTGATGTCATTCTGGGAAATGACAAAGCTCGAAAGGAGAGCGAGGTTGTGAGGCGGAAGTTGTTTGAGATTAGTACAAGTGCCGGGCGTCCAAGCTATAACAAGCTCTCAGACTGGAGGGTCGGGTTGCTCTCGAAGTTAGGCAAGTACCTTGTACCTTGCAGCTACGTCACGAGTGCAAGTGCAGGCAGCTACAGCTTCCCGACGCGCCCAAAGCCCAGAAAGGCAAGGGCAATCGCGCCCCACCATCCCACGATTTCAGCACCTAAGGTAGTACAGTGGCAGTTTCCGCGGGGCACAGTGACAATCAACACCGCGTCGACGTGCAGAGAATAGCTTCAGTTCTTTCTCTTTGGAACGACAAGCCGAAGCCTAATCTAGGAGAGGCAAGCGAAATCCTAGGCGACCGATCCAACGAAAACTACAGCACTGAGCGGCCTATGGCGCCCAACAGAACATGGCAACGGTGAAGTCCCTGGGGCTGCACCAGCCCTCAGGGCTTCGACATGCCGTCGACGAGCAATTGCTACCCCCAAGCCCGCCAGCGACGTCGTACACATGGGATATCTTGACCGAAGACCGAGACAATGGCGACTATGAAGATGAGCTGCTCACGACGGAACGCTGTGTCATCTGGTGTCGAGGTGGAATATTTCAGAAGACCTTCAAATTCGACCTGGAGAAGGAACCCATTATACAAGCACTTCTAGCATACTTCCCGACCTCCGAAGACGACAAAGCGAACAGCGATGCAGAAGTCCAATCGGATAAGCGGCCAGCTTTGTCGAAGGCTTTGGTTGTTTTCCTCAAGACTCAGGCGCACATCTATTTCTTGTCCGGAACCAGTCATGTCGTTCATATGCCCTTCGAAGTCGAATCAGCCTTTGCAGGCCCTGTTGGAGTCATCATTCAACGAAAGCAAAAGGCCGAGAGTGTTGCACCCATCTCTCTCAAGTTCCCTCGGGTTCCACCAAACTCATTTGTCTCTTCGCAGTTGACCGCATTCAACAGCTCTCAACAGACTGCCTTTTCTGTTGAAGGCCTGGGGAAGCCCAAACCGCTCCCATTACAACTGGGATCGACCTTGGACAACCTGTGGGAGGCCCCATTGGAACAGCCAGAGTCGCGCTGGCCGCGCCTCGTGTCCTTGACCGACCCTTTACTTGAGCTCGGCTTGGTTGTCACTAATCAAGATCCTCAAAATGCCAAAAGTATGCGGCAAACGGTCTCCAAAAAGCTGGCATTCCTTGATGCGGCTGAAGAAGTCCTTCATGTGGAGGAAATCAAGATCCCTGGCGCTTTAACCCAAGATCTACGCCAACCGTTGATCATTGCGGTGACCATCAACCGCGAGACAAGCGAGTACACTGTCTGGCGACTAACGTATCTACAACATGAGGATCCGTTCCTTGCGCGCCAAAAGAACCCCAAGTCAAAAGCCGCGCGACGTCGCAGCTCCATGCCGACCGCCTTTGCCAGTGCCCCTGGGACACCCGTTCAGCCCAACCTTCGAGAGAGTTTTGGAGTTCCGCTCCCAGGCAAGCGACAAAGAAAGAGTGAGAGGCTAGAAAAGCCCATGGATCTCGTCTCATCACTGGAACAACAAGACAAAGAAGGCAGTGGTGTCGCGCGTAGGAGTTCTCGTAGAGTTAGCTCCATGCTGGCGAGAGCTGATCTGTCAGCGTCTCATGAGAGAGCAGTTCTACCAGATCAACCGCTACTTCCTGGTCATGCCGGAGCCAGAAGACACGAGTCTCAGGGGAGTCATGTCCGCCTCAGCGCCAACTACAGTAATCAGATCCATCCTAGTTTGAGCAGTCTGCTGGCTGCACCATTCTACGAGGGCCTTGACGAGGGATTCCACAACATGGGACTGGACGATCATGACTTTGACGGCCTACAACACGAAATCATGTTCACCAAGCTTCACGGGGTACCCATCAACAACTCCAACGTCCGGTATTCAGCATCAGACCAACCAGCACGCAATCAAACCAAGGTCTTCATTCTGGTGGCGCCGCCGTTTGCTATCGATGGGCACGATCAGAGTCAGCTTCTTATTGGTATTCAAGACGCCGCCGAGAAGCGTCTTCAGCTGCTCACTCTCGAGCTGGGCATCCAGCGCGGATTTGATCAAGGCACCACCAAGGCGGGAGGCAAAGAACCATCCGAAGGTGCTACTGTGATCGCTACCGTCATTGACCGACGACAAGCTCAAAATGTCGTTGACTCCTGCAAGCTAGTGGATGGGGATCATTCCGCCATTCTCATCCTCTCCGAATCGATGGATGGCCGACACGAGCTTAGCACGCAAGCACCATGGAGTGTCCTTACCAAGATCTCGCTATCGCTTCTCTTTGTGGACAGCACCAAAAGCTTACAATATCGTGGCAGAGCGATAGACCGCGACGTCATGCAGCGCAAGTCCGAGATGATTGATTTCTCAAATGGTAGCATTATTGGCGTTCGTCACCCGAGACGAGGGGGTGTCGTTGATGTCGTCGACACCGAAGGCCGACTTCATCAACTCCGGATTCAACTTGAACCACGATCTCCTCACGTCCGCAAGGTCTTGGATGTTTGCCGAAGCATCCTCCCCCATGCCCTCGGCGAGTACATATACGCAGGATGGCTTCATTCCATGCAGTGGATTGGGAGCCAACAAGAACCGCCCTTGGATCTCGAGTGGTCTGCCATGGTGATCTTGCTTCTGTCCCTATTTCTGAGCTTGGGTCGCACAGACACCAAACCGTTCCCTACAACTCGACTTCCCCTACGTAGAAGAAGGCATCCTTCTAGCTCCTTTAGTTCGATAAGGGAATCAGAGGACTGGAAGGCCTTGGAAGCTGGCGAGACCTCCCATTCACTCGGCTGTCCGACTTGGATGATGAATAGGGGTTGGGAATGGGGGTTGGATGAAGATGCCGATGGATCAGTGTCGTCACAGGGAGATGACGGCCCATCGACTAAGTTCATATCGAAGCACATTGTCTTTGCGAAGGAGTACATAGTCTCCGGACTCGGCGAGGCAGCCTTTGGCCCCGCGGGATATATGCCCACATCCCTGAACAAGAGTATGGAGAGTCGACGAAAGATTGCTGTGGATGTGTTTATGGGCCTTCATCTTCTTCTTGAGGAGGAAAAGCTGGACATTATGACGCCGGAGCTCAGTTCTCCAGGCCGTGCTGACCTTCGAGTTGTCATGTGTCAAATTGCCAGGTGGCTCAAATGGCAGGCCTTTTCTTCCATCTATGAGTTGGGTATACAAGAAGACATTGACCCACGTCATGACTCTGGTATGTGAATTGGCCTGGCTTTGCAAGATGGATGATATAGCTAACCGCTTCACAGACCTGAATCTTCGACCTGGAATTCCTCAACCTCCTGTACGGCCAGATGTCATTGACTGGATTCAATCACGTCTCACTGGAGATCGTAGAATTCCTTACATCACGCCAGCAGATGTGTACTACACTGGCACAAGGCTGTCTGAGGCAGAGAAGCTCCAGGACAAGCGATGGGAGGCCACTGTGCCCCGGACACTTATGTTCAAGCAATTCTTCGGGTTCCTCAAGCCGAGTACAACTGCCGTCCAAATGGTGGAGGCTATGCGAGATGCTGGCATCACACCCCTGGTCCTCGATTCACTGCCAGAGGCTGTTCTAATTCCTCTCCGCGATGCCATTTCCTTGTGCCAGCCTCACCCTCCCACTTCTTGGTCCAAGGACCTCCTTGAATTGGTCGATCGCAAGGACATCAGCCTCATCTTGACACCAGGAAAACGCCCTAAACCTAGCGTTTCGAAGATTCTGGTAAGACTCTACTGTTGCTGGAGTGCTCGTTTACTAATGCGGCCCTAGACACCCACACATATTGCAACTTGGGATTACAGGCTGCTATGCCAAAGTGTGGAAGACGCCAACACACTTGGCTATGATGAAGGCGAGGGAACTGAGCGACAGGCTGTGATCCGTTCCCTCTTCAAAGAAGATCGACGCCTGAACGAGGCACAGGCCCTGCTTTCTACAAACAAGGCAAGATTGGTCAGACTCGATCATGATCCCGAGTGGCCAGAAAGCGAATATCTTGAGAAGCAAAAGGAGCTTGTAACAAGGATCGCTACAGGAACACTGGCCATTCCAGCTGGTCGAGCGCTACTGTATTACGGTCTGCGTTTCCCGCTGATCACGCAGAAGTTCCACATTGGAGGGTTCAACCTAAACTGCATCGTCAAGCCGACAAACACGACGGTTGGCGTTGACAAGTCGCAGTTTTCGGAGGAAAAGGTGTGCTGGAGCTTCTTTCACCAGGGTGCTGCTGCCGGTCTTGCTATCTCTCCTAAGGCTCATGGCATTGACACATCCTGGATTCTATACAACAAACCTGGCCAAGAGCTGAACAACCGACACGCTGGCTTCTTGCTTGCCCTTGGCCTCAACGGTCATCTGAAGGATGTCGCAAAATGGGTTGCGTTCAAGTATCTCACGCCCAAACATACCATGACTTCGATCGGACTTCTACTTGGCCTGGCTGCTTCATACATGGGAACAATGGACTCACTCATCACTCGTCTATTATCTGTTCATGCTACGAGGATGCTCCCAAGGGGAGCGGCAGAGCTAAACCTGTCACCGCTGACGCAGACCTCGGGCATAATGGGCATCGGGCTGCTGTACGCCAACAGTCAGCACCGCCGGATGAGTGAAATCATGCTCTCCGAGATTGAGCATATCGACCAAGAAGACGAGGAGGAGCCTCTGCGGAGCGAGTGTTATCGGCTCGCAGCTGGATTTGCCCTCGGCTTCATCAACCTTGGCAAGGGTAACGACCTCAAGGGCTTGCACGATATGAGGGTCACGGAGAAGCTGATTTCCCACGCCACGGCAACCAAGAATGTTGAAATCGTGCACATTCTAGACCGCGCGGCGGCTGGAGCTGTTATGGCCCTTGCTCTCATCTACATGAAATCCGAGGACCAGATCGTGGCTCGAAAGATCGATGTCCCAGACTCGATCCTGCAGTTCGATTACATCCGCCCTGATATTCTTCTCCTGCGGACGGTTGCCAAGAACCTGATATTGTGGTCCAAGATTGAGCCGACTTTCGCCTGGATACATAAGAACCTCCCAGGCCCCTATCGCCATCGCTACAAGCTTCAATCCACCACAAAGCTGCGGTCGACTGACCTAGCGTTCCACAGCATAGTAGCTGGGCTCTGCTTCTCTATCGCTCTACGCTTCTCTGGTAGCGCTTCTCCAAAGGTTCGGGATCTGTTACTATACTATCTGGACCAGTTCATCCGAATCACACGGATCCCGTCCTCGGCGAATATGCATCCCGAGGGCGTTCCGCCGTACGATGAAGAGCTGACTCGGTCAAACGCACGGATGTGTCAAGATGTTTTGGCTCTTTCTGCTTCCATCGTCATGGCTGGTACAGGTGACATTCCGGTTCTTCGTCGCCTTCGCTCGTTACACGGTCGTGATGATCCGGATACCCCCTATGGATCACATCTCGCTGCTCATCTTGCCATCGGAGCCCTATTCCTGGGATGCGGAACGGTAACTTTTGGAACGAGTAATCAGGCCATCGCCGCTTTATTGGTTTCATTCTACCCCATCTTCCCTACCAGTGTTATGGACAACCGCTCCCATCTTCAGGCCCTCCGTCACTTCTGGGTTCTTGCTACGGAACAACGATGCCTCGTTACCAAGGACGTTCTTACTGGACAGCCAGTTTCCGTCCCTATCCAAATCAAGATGCAGAGCAACACGTCAACAGAGCCTATCCTTAGTCGCACGGCACCTTGTATCCTTCCACCAATCGATCAGATTGCCAGCCTGTCAACCGCTTGTGGTCCCCAGTTCTGGAACGTGGAACTCGACTTTTCCAACGAGGAGGTCAGGGATGCTTTCAAAGACACGCAGAGTCTGTATCTCCGTAGACGTCCACCACGCGAGGGCGCCTTTGCTTCGACGCTCAGGGCACTGGGTAAGGATGAGAAAGGAAAAGATCCTCTGGAATGGGTCTTTGGGCTCGACGGGCTTAGAGGCATTAGCCACGCTGAACGAACCGTGGTTCTTGAGCGAGGAGACGAGACTCCGCAGGTGGGCAGTGCCATCGACGCGAGGCTCGAGATGGAGAAGGGCATCAGTGAAGGTACAGACCGCGAGCGACTCGAGGGTGCGAGGTTGCTCTTTGAATGGGCAGGCGTCCGTGACAAGCTGCGGCATCCTAGCCTGTTTGACAGCCAAGAGACCATTACAGAATCGCGGGCTCGCGGTGATGTCGAGGAAGAACAGGAGGAGCAGGAGGCAACTTCTGAAGATGAAGCTGTCTGGTGGATGCGGGATAGTGTTGTTGAGAATCTCAAGGGGATGGTATGGCTTGCCAGTCGAGAGAGTGAGCAGTGAGGGCATCAAGCTTATCATCTTGTAAACGATTATGATCATGACGGTGTCTAGTCATATGTGAACTTTGTAGAGCAGTGTTTGTCGAGTTGAAAAGTAGCACATGTCGTTATGAGTTATGAGAACAATGATAGTCTTCACAGCCAAAATCACAGCAGCTTGAGGCGAATAGATGATTCATTTCAACAGTCACGTAAATTCCATTATCCCCCCCTTTGCCTCTTCCCTTTTCCGAGAACGCCATGCAATGCAAACCGCATCACCGGGGATATACAGGGCCTTCTATCCGCCACTTTCTCTCGCGTCGTCGGGCCCCTTCGTTGTTTGCCCACGCCGCTTTCAAGCTTTGCCCGTCTTTGTGCTTCAGCGATATCCTGCTTCGTCTCCTTTTCTCCCTCTGCCGCACGAAGTGTTTTTTCGCGCAGGAACAAAAACAAGACCGCTAGAACTCTCTTCTCCAACACGCACTCTCCTTCAAGCAGCGGAGGGCGTTTATTTCCCCTTTTGGATTGCGTTGCCCCATTTTGAGTTGTCGTAAAAACACTCGTCAAAGAAACCCCGTCACGGGCTAGTCATGCTCGCTCTCTACTTTGAGACGGCGGCGTTGAGGACCTGTGTCCTGAAGAAGCCGCCCTTGGTCTTCTCAATCACCTGCTGGTAGACGTTGTTGGGAGGGTGGTTCATCACCACGGTGCCGTCCTGGCTGTCGATCTTGGCGTCCAGTCGTGTCTCTCGGATCAGGTTGACGATCCACTTCTCTCCATCGTCGGGGTTCAGGCCCAGCTTGGAGCTGAGGTCTCGGATGTTCATTCGGCTAAAGATCTTGCAGTAGCTCTCGCAGATGAGGTGTCGGGCGGCGTCGACAAAGGCGTCGGCGGAGGAAGCGAGGAAGAAGTCGCTTCGGCAGACCTGCTCGGCCATGGACAGGGCCTCACGAGCAGCCTCAAAGTCGTGGGCAATGTACAGAGCGTTGACGAACTGGGTGATGGGGTCGGTGTACTCGTAGGCCTCCTGGCGGACGTAGCGGATAATGTCCTTGACCTGCTTCTGCTGGATGGAGCTGTTGCGGGCGCGACCACGGCCGGTGATAACGGCGGCGATCAGGTACCGCAGGATCCAGGGGCAAGAGGTCTGGATGGTGTTGATGTAGGGGGCGGAGAAGAACATGTCGAGGATGGGTTCCCGGGCACTCTCAGAGTTGAAGAGGGGGAAGAGGGACCAGTGGACCAGCATCGTTCGGTGGTCGAGCTGGGCACGGGGGTTGTTGAACAGCTTAGAGTCGATGTTTTCGCGCACATTCTTAAGTTCGTCGACGGCAGACTCCCAGTTGGTCTGGAGGATCTCTGAGGCGAGCTTGCCCCAGGTGGCAGCAGAGACCTTGTCGTTATCGGTCGACAGGACTCGGAACTGGTAAAGCATATCGGCGGCGGGACCGTACTGTCCGCATCGGAACTGGAACTGACCAAAGTCGTAGAGGGCGTTGACCATTTCCATGGTGACCTAGTCACGTCCGGGTTAGCTTGTCAATCCGAGCTCGGCCGTGTTTGTCACTTACGCCGTGCTGGTTCTTGAGGAACTCCAAGTTGGCAACCTTGTCGCTTCGGAGTCCGTTGACGACCTCGTCCTGGGTCAAGAGGTCGGCGATCTTAGCGGTGGCCTGCTCGTACTTCTCCAGCTCCGACAGCACCTCCTGCCTCTTCTTGTTGTACTCGGCGGGGGCCTCGGAGACGCCGTGGAGCTCGCAGTACATGGTCGCGACGTAATCCGTCATGTTTGTGTCCTCGAGGAGCTTGATCTTTGAGGAGAGGATCTCCTTGGCCTTTGCGTCGTCGCCCTGCTCATCGGCCCTCTCGCTCTCAAACTGGATCAGAGGGAAGAGAAGATGTCGGCTCAGGTGGCGGGCGATGAGGGGCATGATGGACGAGCCGTCGGCCGAAACGGCGTTGAGAAGTTCCTCCATCGTGGGCGAGGTTGCTTTGTATTCGGTCGACCGGGGGGCGGAGCGAGAGGGGGCCGTGGGAAAGAGATGTGAGGCGCCGCGAAAGTAAAGACGCAGAGGCCGTGATAATTGATTTGATGGAGGGGCAGATTTTTGGTGAATTTCGCCAATCCACCGGTGGTGTGGGGTGTGCCGACCTGCCCGGGGATTTGCCGGCGATTAAAGGTCCATGTCATGTGATCCCGAGATTTTCTGGGAGAGCTTCAACTTCCGGGTGTGTCTGGGTATAGAGTTGCGACAGGCGAGAGAACGGCTCAGCGTGACCAATTGGGCGCTCATTGAGATAAAAATCGCCAATTCTGCTACCTTCAGAACCCCCGGGGATCTTGATTTTCCAAAAGGGCCCCCACCACGACCGATCTCGAATCTCGACCTCCCACCTCAACACCTACACCACATCTTGCCATGCGCCTGCTCGCCCCCCGAACCCTCTCTGCAGGGTGCCAGGCTCTCCTCCAGAGACCTGTGCCTCTCGTCCAGCGATGTACCTACGCCTCAGCCAGCCAGCCTACCTTCAAGACGCACGCCGGATACAGAACCAATCCCCTCGATAAGCCCGTCAACCCGAACAAGAAGAACAAGATCCCCTACAAGGACCGCCCCATGAAGCGCTTCTTTGCTCCCCTGCCGACCAAGACTGAGGAGCAGCTCGCCGCCGCATTCCCCTACATCGTCCGCCGCACACCATACTCTCAGCTTCCCGTCTACCAAAAGTGGATGTCTGGCGGCAACCGGGTGATTGTCTTGATCAAAAAGGTTGACGGCGACCGCACAAGGCTGGTGGAGGATTTGGCCACAGCATTGGAAGTTAAGCGGTCCGATATCCGACTGAATCCAACGACACAGCATATCGAGATCAAGGTAGGACATTCTGTTCTGGCTACACACGAGTCGAACCAGTCACTGACCAGTTACTCTAGGGGCAGTACTTTAAGCCGGCAATGGACTGGTTGCTTAACGCGGGCTTTTAATCGAGGCATCGTAATGAGCAATACGACGGGGAAATTCATTGGATTTGTCCAAGTATGCATAGGGCGGCATATAAAAAGTGTACCATATTGACAGCCCGTCAACTCCTGCAGCTGACTGATGAGAAATGTACAATACATGTAATTCAAGGCACACCATCCATACAAACACAAGCAAACAAAACCACGCTTTGCACAAAGTATATTTGGTTGTTCTCCATTCAACATCCTGTATACACCCTCGGGGAGTGATCGTCACCTCCTCCATGTCCAGTCCCGTTCAATCCCCCAAAACCCCATCGACTCCAGAATGCAAGTCTAAACGCGAAGCGCACGCTTCAAATGACGACAAGACACCTATCCCATTTTCATCAAAACACTAACATACAAGCTTAATGGCCGGGTATTGCGATGAATCCAAAATAAAAAATTTCCCGTTAGCCGACGTGGGCGTATTATTTCCCTAGAGCGAAGAAAGTCGACAATTGTTGTAGGACCTCATCCTTGGCCCACTCTGCCGATTGCATCGAAAGAGCGTCGAGAAGTGCCTGTGGTGATGGCACAGACTTGGCTGGAAGAGATGATGCAGGGTCGTTAGGGTCTCTCGCCTTCTCGGCCAACCTCCGTAACAAGGCGACTGAGACCACAACCAGGTAAACCAGCTCTGGATCTTTTCGTGCCCCAGCCCGTGGTCCACCATGGAGTTGCGGTTGCTCGTATAGTTGGCTGAGCTCGCGAATGAGTCTGAATAGGTTTTGCGCAAAGTCGTTGCCACTTGATAGCCAGGCTTTCGCAACTCCTGCATCGTGTCCAGGTGCTATTGACGCCAAAATCTCGGCCGACAGCAATCCTTGCATGAGGAATGGCTTTCGGACCTCGACAAGCGAAGGGAAGTTGGGTGGACGACTCTGAGCCTTAGCCTTGTCAGGGATTGGCGCTATTGCTAGGCCAAAGGCTCGAGTGAGAAGCTCATAAGGAGGGTTGCTGTTAGAGTCCAAAGCAAACACCGTCTTGTAGTGAGTTCGGTTCGGTTCGTCGCGTGCGAGCAACTTGGCTAGGGCATCAACAGCATGTGGTAGGTAGGCATGAAGACTGGGTTCGTATGGCGTGAAGAAGAGTGTTCCGTCCGAGACGGTAGGGTTGGGAGCCGGGGCGAATGCCAAGAGGAATTGTAAAAGGCAAACAGCTTGCTCGCGTCCTGGGATTTCCACTGAGCCCGCAATGTTGGAAAGAAGGATGACGACGTCCTTCATAAAGTCCAAAGTGTTGTTCTGGGACCGGAGGAGCATTGTGCGTGTGCCAAGATATCTTATCACGACGCACAGAAACTTGATGACGGACTCGTCGGCAAGGACGCCATGATTCTCGTTCTGTTCTCCAGGGAACGAAAAGTTGCGCAAAATCGTGGTAACACATATTAAGCGGTCCACGGCTCGATCCAGTTCGTATTCTTCCGTACCAAAGACGGGGATCTCGCGAACATTCCATCGTTCGATACGGCAGGCCCTCACCACATCTTCATATGGTGATATCTGGATCTCATCCGACACTTCAACGGTATGCTCGGCTAGCAAGTCAACTTGCTCTTCAGCGCACTCAACGAGAGCCTCCACCAACTCTTCACAATATCGTAGTTGGATAAAGTGCAACTGGTTCATAGAGCAAGATGCAGAAGCGAGGACGTCGAGGGCGAGCCGCACTTCTCCATGAATCCCACTCTGCAAGCTTTTCGTGAGAGCACTGACGTCGATATTCCCCAGTTCCTGAAGGGGAGGCACGTCTGGCTTCCATCGTTCGAGTTCGGCGCCGAGCTTGCTGAAGGCAGTCAAGTCGACACCTCCAAATGTCGACAACTCGCGAGCACAAGGGCTGTACTGGTCAGTCTGGGGGCCGAGGCGAGGCATCCTCTCCACAACAGCGGTGGGTGCTGCTGAAGCTTGTCGTCCCTCATTCTGTGACATGCTTCCAACCCTACGAGGAGCTGGGGATGGGGCAGCTGCAAAATCGTTGATACCAGAGGTATCCATTCCTTGCGGCATGTTGCGGTTCTGCCCAGGTATAACCGGCGTGGCTTGTGGCTGTACTTGAGCTTGAGGTGTCGAAAAGCCGTTCACAGGAGGCTGTCCTGGTTGCATCTGCTTCATAGGGGTCTGCTGTTGCATCTGGGGTTGTTGACCAGCTTGAGCCAGTGGCCCTTGATTCATTTGTTGGTTTGGTTGCATCTGCTTTTGCGGTGTCGCCTGTCCTCCCATGTTTGCGCCTTGGGCTTGTTGAGCTTGTTGAGCCTGCTGAGCTTGCTGAGCTTGTTGTTGCTGTTGAAGTTGCTGAGGCTGCTGTTGTTGTTGTTGCTGCTGTTGCTGATTCTGCTGCTGCATCATCCTGGACTTCTGCTGATTTATCCACATTTCCTCAAACTTATAGAGGTTGTGCTCGTAAATCTGCTTCAGCGTCTGTGGCACCGTAGGAATCTGAGGCGGTAGTCCGATCATCTGAGCAATATGGGGCCATCCGTTTCCAGCTGTGACCTGCTTATATCCTCCCTTGTTTTGAACGGCCTGAAACAGCATCATCAGGTTGACTGGTCTGTCCCCGATCATTGGGTTAGGGTCAAGAGGCAAGCCCTTGTGGTTCATAAGGGTGGTGAGACTCTTCATGAACTGTTCCGGGTTGACGTTTCCCATCCTTGGCTGCGGCCTCATCCCTCCCTGTGGCATCTGACCATTGGGCATCCCAGGTATTTGCTGCTTAGGCATCATACCGCGACCCATGTTCTGTGCCTGCATCTGTGCCTGCATCTGTGCATTCCCTTGAAGTTGCTGCTGCAGTCTCATTTGATATGCGGCCATCTTCTGCTGGTCGGTCATGCCTGGCCGCGGCTGACCTTGCTGCTGACCTTGCTGCTGGGCCTGCTGCTGTTGAGGAGTGCCCTGTTGCTGATGCTGGGCCTGCTGCTGCATCTGGGGAGGATACATGTTGCCCTGCATCTGGCCCATGTGTTGAGGCATTTGACCCATCTGCTGCGGCATCATTTGGCCAGCGGCCATCGCGTTCGGATTCGATGATGGACGAGCATTCGAGGGCGATGGCGCGAAGTTCGGGTTGTATCCTTGGGGCATGTTTTGCATGTAGGGGTTCGGCTGAGGTGTGCCATGTTCGGAAGGTATTGGTGACGCCTGCGAGTTGAACTGTTGTGCGCTGGGCGAGAATGGATGAGGCGACGCGGTCGCGACCCTCTGAGGGACACTACCTGGTCGCATCTGGTTGCCCATGATCGGTGATGGACTCGCGTTGGCAGAACCGTTTGGTTGAAGATGGGGGAATTGGCCAGGGTTTTGCTGGGGGACCGCGCCAGGCTGAAAGCCGCCGGCAAAGGATTGCTGCTGCGGCGTCTCGGAACGCGACGTCGGCAACATTCCGGGGTTCTGTCTCGGAGAGCCGGCGAGACTGTCTTCGCGAGGGCGAGGGCGTTTCGATGGAATCACCGAGTTGGTTTGATAGACGGGATTCTGGAAGGAAGGTGAGGCATTGCGCATGGGGCCAGGGCCATTAGCCATCGCGCCCATCTGCTGCTGGTTCTGAAACTGTGCAGGATTGAATTGGCCAGAGTTGGCCATGAAGGCGGAAGGATCCATCATGGTGCTGGCTGAGTTGGCGTCATTCATGTGTGGGAAGCCGTTGCCATTGTGGTTTTGGACGGCGTCGTTCATCCAGGTGCTCATGGCGATCGGCCCAACAGGCTGTGCGCGACGGAGTTAGCGGTCAGCAGGCACGCGACAAGCCTCCATGGAGGAGCGCCAGGGAAATGAGAATGCAATGACGGAAGGCTGAGATGGGGACGATGGGTGGGAGATGAGACGAGGCAGTGACACGGTGGTGATGGGCAAGTCGCGTCGCGGCGTGGGTTTGGTGGAGAGTGGTGTGGAAAGACCAGACCAGCGAAGAGACTTGGGTCAGCCTCTGCTGAGAACGGGCTGGGCAAAGGAAAAAAAAATGGCTTGGACTGGGAGAGTGGGCAATGGAAAAGAGCTCAGATTGGTTGGCAGGGTGGTCGGTGCAGCACGGCGACGCGCTTCGCTCAGGCGGGAGATGAATGGATAGATGGGATTGAC